TAAAAATACATTTTATTCAGGATGCTTTCTAAAATGTGACTGCTTAGTCATCTTGGGTATGACACTGTTCCATGAGCCTTTTGCACACGTCCTCCCCCTTGGCTGTGCAGCTCATTCCATGCACACGTTTCCCCCCTCACCCCCCTTTCCTATCCCTGCACACGCCACACTCTGAAAACAACATTCCCATGAGGCGAGATTAGGGAAGTCACGTTTTTTCTTTATATATTGTAAACAATATCAGGTGACTAAAATGAGGAAGTCTCCCATGAGGAACTTTAAAGATTTTCCCGCTGTGTCATTGTGATTTCTCAAAAGCTTTGCTCAGATAAACATACAACGCGAGGACAAGATGCCAACAAAGCATCGGATACAATGAGACATTTAAGCAACTGCTATGAATATGTTTTTTTAGATTCATATAATTATAAAGTAAATTTGGAGATATAATTTAAAATAAACAAATCAATTAATATGTATTATTCTCACAAACTACCCAACAGCATGGATGCATATACAAAGTATATATATATATGCATCAAATTAAAGTGATGCACCCATGAATGCATCAATAGTTATAATTTAGTGATGTGGTAAATAAATAATCTAAAATAAACTATTTTATCAGAAGGTTTCTGCAAGTATATGGCAATCATTTCAGGAAACAACAGAAAAGAATATATTATTTAGTTACAAAAAGTAATATTGATTGTAGATTGTTAGATGGGGGGTATGAATTCAACGAGGGGGTGGGTTATGATATTGAACATTGACCCCCAAAATAAAGATGTGTCCCTAAATAGAACTTCATATAGCATAGATTTAAGGATGAGCATGCCTCTTATCTAGGAAACTGTTAGAATATTTTACAACACCGCTTCTTCTTAAAGTTCAAACATATTTTATACATTATATATTTTTAAAATCTGCAAATAATTGTTCTTTCAAATAAATTCTTGATTTCATATCATCAATAAATAAATAGAAATTACTACCTTTGAATTTGAAGGCTACGGAAGACACGTCTCTAGATTGTCATTTCATCTTCTGTATGTCCAACTTCAGATAATCCAAATTAGCTCTCTTTTTGGTCTACCTCCTTCATATGTTTAATCATTCCTGCAAGACAAGTGAAAGGGCCCTAAATTTAAACCAAAATGTGTTTCCTCTTTTTTTGGGCACCGAGGAGCGGGGTGCAAAGGGAAGCGATGATGCCAACTGTCCCAAAACCTAGACCAAAATATGTCAAATCATCATCAGTTACATAATCCTGACAGGAATTAAAGATCCCCAAAAGTTTTACATTTCTGTCTGTTGTAAACAACTTTGTTCAGAGGTTGGTCTGTAAATGGTCAACCAAATGATGGTACTTACCTGGTAAATTACAGCAGATACTTTGGCTGATAAGGCAGCATGCACTCCGATATTGTTGTCAAGGTCGATACAAAAAATAAAGGCTTCACTTTCAAGTGCAGACTCAATGCGGTTCATTTCGTATTCTTGAGACAGTTTGTCCATATCTGATCAGCGGTGCTCGACTTAAAAGAACAAAACACACAAGTGTTTTGGCCAGCGTTAAGGAACGGTGTCATTTTCATTTCAGAGGAAAGGGCCTCCGATATTGCTTTCACGGTCACACTGTAATCTACATAATGACAATGATGAACAACCCATCAGGGACGATTTCAGTGAAAAAGCCCCCAAATTCCCCTTCAGATGCATGTTGATTGTGTTTATTCATGGCAGTTAGGTTGATGAGGGAGCAATATGGAGGAGGTTGGATGACACTTGTTACGCGTTACCGTTAAAATAGCAGACATCTCTTGACGAAGAACAAACAGCAAAGGCCGACTGAAATCAAGGCTTCTATGAAAGCTCTCGCCGATGCAAATTCGAAAGCCACTTCATTACTTGCTTTTTCCCTGCAATCTTGTGTCTGAGAGACTGAACTAAGTGGTTAATCAAGCCAAAAACCCAACTGCGTCTGAGGGGCCAGAGAGGAGACGCTCCTGCTCACAGACGAGGCCACGGCTGTGTATGGAAGTGCATACGGCTCGGTATGGACATCCATGGATGTATGGATGTCCATACCGATTTTCATAGATATAGTTATTGAGACATGCCACTAACAAACAAGAACCTCGTGGTGGCACTTAAGTGAAGGTTAGAGGATTATCAAAGTTATTAGAATTTGTCCTTTGACATTAATGGATGTCCGCACAAAATTCCATGGCGATCCATCAGGGCCAGATAGGTGGAATGACAACCCACTTTTTAAGCATTTGCTAAAAATGTACCTTGACTTTACATAGTTACAAGAGACATCAGTTCAGCTGTATCCGCCACAGAAGGCATATTTTCATTTTTTTATTAAGAAACATAATTGGACGCAGTTGTTTTTTAAGTAACTTGATGAAGCGCAAATAAAACAACGGAAAATACTGCACTTTAAGACAGAAGTGCAAAAAGGAAATTTGCAAAAGCTAATTTAATGATGGCTGAAAATAGAAAGAGGCAGCAGCTTCCTTAGTTAACATAATCAAGACTTTAACACAATTTTAATGACCATTCACACACCCACATGGTCGACATTAGAGTCCTCTGGCTAAATATTTTTTTTATTGCTTGATTAATCAATTTATTTTTTGGGTGGAAAGAAATGTGGACCAAAATGCCCATAGAACTATAATCACGATCTCAGAAGTGAGAGAAACCCGACAATCGTATTTAGTCCTTTGCTTAAAACCTTTTCTAAATGTTAGATGGAAATTGTTGCTGATCAATTTTCTGCCATTGACCGATCAATAAGCTAATTGTCACAACTGTTTCACACCAATGTCATACTGCCTACCTAATTCAAATCTGGGGGATTATGGTCATTTTTAAAGAATGACGATGTCTGCATCGCTCAAATCAGCCTCAGTAATCCCCAGTACATCCGAAAACATGCAATGCGCTCAACACATTACCATGATGTACTTATGACGTCGGGATTTCTCTCCCTGATCTGTTTATTGTTTGACAGAGGGAATGTGCGGAATGCGAGTGTGTGAGTGAACTCAGCCGGCGCTGCCACTCGACATTAGATTTATGGGTGAAGATTAGGACCCGGGGCAGTCTGGCAGAGAACTGAGAAGAAGAAAAAAAGGAGGAAAGCAAAGCCAATGCCAGTGAGAGACAAGAGGTGGAGAGAATGGAGCACAGGCCCCGAAAAAAAATGTGGGGGGGTTTGATCTCCCCGGGACAGGTCAGGTCTTACTAGTGCAGCGTTTAATCTGCAGCTGCAGTGAGCATTCGTAAAGAGAAAATCTTTGTGATCTGTGTACCATTCTCACTCCATTCCATCAGCTAAATGAACGTTTCCGCCACTTTTCGCTTAAAACTCTGTGAGCCAGGCACCACGAAATCACTCTTTTTTTCCAATAGTTCCAATAGTTTTCCTTGAGAGAGGCACTTGGTTTTACTCCGGGCCTCTGTTCTATCTTCAAATGCCCGCCGTCCTTTATTCTGATCAACGCACTCATTACAGTGGAAAGGTATCCGCCTGCAGACGCCAAATAGAAGCCTCTGAAATGAAAACTTTCCCCCCTCCTTCAGATGCCAATTGTATGTGGCTGTGTCTTAGTCTGGTTTACCTGGTTCTTTGATCACGACAGCATGCAACGCTGTTTGAATCCTGGGCTACTTTGACAGTTTGCAGGCTGGCAGAAAGGTCCTTCGGTGTCTGAAGTTAGATCAGAGGAGACGGGCCCTGAAAAGCAGGCGTCCAGCTGGGAGAAGATCAGAAGAGACACAAACTTTAGCGAGAGCCATTGTGAGGTACACAGCGGCTGCTGGCTCCCATAACTTTTCCTTTTGTATGTTTTTTTCATATTGCTCTCTTCTCCCTCTCTTATCTTCCGCACAGCGTTGAATGGCTCAGCTAAAGGTCTGTCAGGTTTTATCTGATTCTGACAAGAAAGACACCCGGTATTTGTTCCCTTTTTGTTAGGTGTCTCTTGGGGTTTAAGGCTGGCTGTGTGTGGGTGCACATTCACCATGGTGCACCTCTCCTTTATAATACCAGAATACTGTCCTGAAGACGTTGTAGTCAAAAATTAAGGAGTAATTGAAACTAATAGTATCGTCTACATTACATGCTGGACAATGACTTTACCCAAGGCTTGCTGCATCGATCAAATTAAATGAAATATGTGTTTGAGTTTCTTTAAAGCCTTAAGGGAAATGAATAGTACTCATCAATCATTTTAGTCATTGCAATTACTGGCCATATTAGCTAATGTATGAAATGATGTGATTATTTTACTTGAAATCAGTTGTGTAATCAAAGAAGATGGGCTCACGTATGGTAAGTGTGGCAATGGTGTCCTCTAGTGGCTCAATGGCAGAATCATCAAAATCTCGCAAAAAAATACCTTCACCCTACACATGTAATCCACATTATTACCACATGCAGACGGTAATTTCTTTAACACTATATTTCAAAAGGAAATGTTGTATTTTGTATTTATCCGATGGATTAAGATTTTATATAAACAAATAAAATATGATACATTATTATTATTATTATTATTATTTATTTTAAAAAATGAACTGAAACACAATTATATGCAGTTTAGTAGTTACTTAAGTAGGAGATCAGTGGTACTCATCAAATCACTAAATACACCCAGTGTAGATGAATATGGGAAGATTGTGTTGACTGTTTATCAATTTATCACGTGGCTCTCGAGAGAGCTCCATTCGGCGGGATCTTTTCAAATGCCCGTTCACTGAAATACTTGATCGAGAGCGTTTATTTCTCACGGAAATATTGAAGAAGATCAATTTTACACCACGCTGATCACTTAAACGTGATTGACAGGAGCGCGTGGCCGCTCACTCGTTGGAATGAATTGAAAGGCATCATTAATCGATCGACGATACTGAGCGTTCCGCTCCGCCAGTTTATTTTACAACCAGCAGGTGGATCCTAGGCCCCACCTCGGGGTTGTTTCGAAGGAGGCAAATCCAAGGCACTTCCGCATTGGCTTCGCTTTTCCAGAACCGGTGGTGAAACATTCGCTCTCTCTCTCTGCTCGACTTGTCCCCACTGGAGTCTCCTCGTCCCCCTCCGGAAAAATGGCAACAACCGTGACACTAAACACCGGCGCGCAAATCCCCATCGTGGGACTTGGCACGTGGAAGGTGCGTTTTTGCTTTAATACGCAACGTGTTATTACCGAGTTATACAACGTGTGTGCTGAATGTGCGCTCGGCTAAAACTAGTGCCGAAATAGCAGCCGGTTACGTCACTGCAGGGTCGGCGGAGTAACCCTGCGGACGACCCCGATATGGAGACCGTGCTTAATGCGTTATAGCAGCAGGTTCACGTCGAGCTGGTGGGGGTCGAGTTCGCAGAGCTTATCCAGTGCACGCTTTGTTATCTGTGCAGTGTGACCCGGAGCAGACGCACAAAGTCACATGTCACACTGGTTGCCTCGGCCCCCCCCCCCCCCCCCCCCACCCCAGTCAAATATGCTTTAATTTTAGCGGCATTATAATTTGTAATTGAGACCGGTGCAAAATAACAGCGTGTTTTTTTCTCTCCATAAAATGTATAATTATCGTTGAAATAAGTGTCGGTAACCGGGGAGGGGATTAAAGTGCAACGTCATTCAAGCCCCTATTTAAACTGGGACACCGCCCGGAAGTGGCACTCCCATTATCTGAGTTTGTACCTACATTGCTATTGTAGCAAAATAATGCAAATCATCTTATAATCTGTTTAGTGACACAGTATTAAACAAAAAAAACACTGTATCTTGGAAAAAGTACTTAGAAAAGTATATGTGGATCACACAGTAAGTAACTTCCCCCCCCCCCCTGTGTGTTAGTCTCCCCCTGGCAAGGTGAGCGAGGCGGTGAAAGCGGCCATCTCAGCAGGCTACAGGCACATCGATGGAGCGTACGTCTACCAGAACGAGGCGGAGGTGGGAGAGGGCGTCCACGCCATGATCAAGGATGGCGTGGTCAAGCGGGAGGATCTCTTCATTGTTAGCAAGGTCAGTTGTGTATGATCATAATATAATCTATAAGCTCTCTCTCCTTGACTTTCAAGTCCTCTCATTTCTTTTCTTTTTTATAGCTGTGGTGCACTTTTCATGAGAAGCCTCTGGTGCGGCAAGCCTGTGAGAAGACCCTCAGCGATCTTAAACTGGACTACTTGGACCTCTACCTGGTGCATTGGCCGATGGGTTTCAAGGTAGGCACAGTCCCTTTTGAGCCGATGTGTTGAAATATGTGTGGTCTGTGTGACTCCGGTCAATCGGGATCAATATGCCGCCTGCACATTGGCTATCGATCCTTTTTTCGTCATGTTGCAGCCCGGCAGTGAGCTTTTTCCTCTGGACGGCGCAGGAGAGACCATCAGTGATGGTACTCACTTCCTGGAGACATGGGCGGTGAGTGAAACAAAAACAAACTACTCATGTTTAAGGAGGTGAAATTGAATTGGCATAGTTGTGTGCCGTTATTATGATCTGACACCACACATCCATGTCATGTGTTAATGGTTTAACAGCGACATTTACAGGCTTAAAATGTGATGTCAGGAAATCCTGCAATCAGAGAGGTGGTATTTATTTAACACCCCTGGATAAGCACAAAAATGATTTAATAAGAGCTACGGTTTCTAAACCAAAGCTCACAAGGATATTTTTTCCATGGTGAATTCTTCAGGCAATGGAAGAGCTGGTGGATGCTGGTCTGGTCAAAGCGATCGGTGTCTCCAACTTCAACAAGGAGCAGATTGAAGCCATTCTCAACAAGCCAGGCCTGAAATACAAGCCTGCCAACAACCAGGTACTCCCAACACACTCTTTCTAGTGGCTCTATTGGCCAGCTGCTGTTTTGTTATGAAGATGGATAGATTTTTTTTTGTGTGTCCCAGGACTATTGTGTTTGTCCCAACAGGTGGAGTGCCACCCGTACCTGGCTCAGGAGAAGCTGGTCAACTTCTGCCACTCTCAGGGCATCTCTGTGACGGCGTACAGCCCCCTGGGCTCCCCCGACAGACCCTGGTCAGTTGTGTCCAAATACCACGAGGCAATTCTATCACCGCACAGTTACAACATCGTGATCGTATTGCTGATTCAGTATTACATCTGATGCATCCCTTTGGTTGGTTTCAACTTGTGGCTGTTGTTCCTCTTTGTCCATTTATTTTGAAATGTGTTAAATGTGTGCCGGCCCTCCTGTATAATTCGGGATGATGCATTCACGACACAGGGCTAAACCTGACGACCCCTCGCTGCTGGAAGATCCAAAAGTGAAAGCCATCGCTGAGAAGCACAAGAAGACTTCGGCTCAGGTACAACACTGATCCAAACAAGCTTTATGTAGTTTTTATTCGCACATGAAAGGAATGCAGGTTCCTCTTTTTCTCTCCAAGAAGAATGTGCAAATACCACGTGCACTCTGCTGTTGTCCTTGTAGTATCAACCTTTGATCACGTTCACATGTTGACTCTTTTCCCTTAACTGCCAGGTCCTGATCCGCTTCCAAATCCAGAGGAACGTGATCGTGATCCCCAAGTCCATCACACCTCAGCGCATTCAGGAGAATTTCCAGGTAATTACAATATTTCAGATGCTTTCTAGGATTAGCCCTCAGTGTGCCTCACTCACTAAACGGAGGTTTAAATCTCTGCAGGTGTTTGACTTTGAACTAACCGCGGAGGAAATGAAGACTATAGTGGGATTCGACAGGAACTGGAGAGTCTGTCCTATGCAATGGTGAGCTCATATCTTCTTCTGTTTTTTCTTTTCTATGATATTGTTTGGTGTTTTTGTGATTTCTCTTTTTTTCTTGTTTTTCTCTCATTAGGAGCTTGAAGCACAAGGACTATCCTTTCAACGCTGAATTCTGAAATGAAAGAAAATCCTCAGGTTTTCCCACAAGTTGACTTCTAGGTCTGGAGTTTGCATCAGCCAGCATTAATCTACTTAATTTGCCACTATCAAGTGCAGTTTGCAAAATAACTATTGACGTGGTACATTTCCCATGAGAAATATTGATTTATCCAATAATAGTCATTTTATCTCCACTAAATAGTGTTTACTGATTAAATGCTTAAATGAGTTAGATTTTGCACAAATATAATTGAGTGCTCATATATTTTCAATTTTATAATGTGATTTTCTGTCCTAATAGCCGGCAGCCAAGTAGCTCGCTTGATTTTTTTATTTTTTCCGTGTTGCCTTGCCATAGTGAATTACATTGTGGTCACTGTGTTACTTAAAGTACCTCCCGAAGCTAAATGTTTCACGTTCACTAACTCGCGTTAAAGTGTGTAACAGGTCTGAGAATTAGCGCCGACATCAGTCATTTGTAGTTTTGCAATAAGCACATGTTTCAATTTTATTCTCATAAAAGATCAAATCTGTATTCAGGTGACGCACATTTTTCATCGCACAACCGTGATCATACTTCAGCACTCCTCATTTAACTCAACCTGTTTCTCCTTCATGTAAGCACTTATACATTTACATATAAACTCAATGCAAATTAAAACCCCTGTTTACAACCTAAGACAAGTCAAAGTATGTTCTGCTTTTTACGAAGCATTTCCCATATTTACTTGCATGTCATAGATGGCACTTGAACATCACGTGTATTGACGCTATTACGAAATGGTCACTTCCACTTCTCCGGGGGAAGCTGTTTCTTGTTTTTTTTCAAGAATCAAAATAAATCCCTGTGGTAAAAAGACCAAACAGTGCAATGACTTTGCATTACCGGGCTGGAAGAAGAAGAAGGCTAAATCTCTGCATGAAGGTATGAGGACAAACGCTAACTTTGAGAAAGGTGTTGATGGTGTTTCGACTCAAATAGTTTTGTTGTTAGTTTTGGTTGTTACCAACAGGATATTATTCACGCTAAAGAGAATAAGTTTACACAGCAAATCGAATACAGAAATGTACTTTCTGTTAAAAATGTGATGTAATGCAGCATTAGCAAAGGGGTTAGTTGTAAGCATAAAAGATCACATTTTCCCTTCCAATTGTTTATGCACGAATGTAGTTATTTATGTCAACAGCGTTGCAGCACGTTGTCTCATGAGCTAATACTCTGCATTCAGTGGAAAATCTTTGTGTGTTGTGGCCCTGTAAGGAAAAGGGGATGAACATGCTTTACTGGTTGGTCCTTTTTAAACTGGTCTATCACCTAAAATAATTCAATGAAAGAGATAACGGGCATAAAGTGATCTGCCCATGCTCACCATTTCATCACAAATGCTCTTTTCTCAGGGAAGCTCATCATGGTCTTCATGTCGTTTTCGCTCAACTCAAAGTCAAACAACTGGAAGAAAAAAACAAAATTCAATATGTGCTTATGCATTATACATCTCTGGATAGTGTTTTGAAATTATTAAGATTAGGAACCTGCAGATTTTCCTTGATCCGATGGGGGGTCGCTGACTTGGCTATGACAATCACATTCCTCTGGATGTGGAACCTGAGGAGAACCTGTGTGGGGAGGGGCGCTATAATATATTTGGGCTCCTAATGAAAGTCTCTTCAGTAAAGAGGGGGAACTTTGGGCAGGCATTTAAAGTTGTCTCCTCTTGCCTGTGCTGGGGTCTTGTTGTGCTTGTCTGCTATAGCCTTGATCTTCGGTTCCTCCAGCAGGGAGGGGTCATCCGAAGAAACCCTGAAGTAAATAACAAGAACAGAAAATAATAAGTGACACGTGACACTCTCCTGTAGTTGTTGTGGTTTTTGACAGGTGGTGCTGCCTCTCACCAGGGTCGGTCGGGGGAGCCCAGGGGGCTGTACGCGGTCACTGAGATGCCCTTCGAGTGGCAGTAGTTGATCAGCTTCTCCTGGGTCAAGTATGGGTGGCACTCAATCTGGGGAAACATCAGAATCCCTTAGCTGTTTCTAATCTTCCCTTTTATGTTATGTTACGGACTCTGCGGCGATGCTTTTGCACCTGGTTGTTAGCCGGCTTGTACTTGAGGCCCGGCTTGTTGAGTATGGCATCGATTTGGTCTTTGTTGAAGTTGGAGATGCCAATAGCCTTGACCAATCCAGCGTCCACCAGCTCTTCCATGGCCTTTGAGACACATGGCACGCGGGTGTTAATTAGGTGTCTACCAACCTGTACATGTAAATATTGGATTTAGCTGGGTACAAAAGTCCCTTTAATCACCTCCCAAGTGTCCAAGAAGTTGCTGCCGTCGGAAATGAGCTGTTGATTTTCATCAAGTGGAAAAAGCTCATCGCCTGGCTTCAGTAGCAACATGTAAAATGGTCAAAACATAGAGTTGGATTAAATGTTTCCTTTTTTTTCTTTTTGATTCACAAAGGAGCCTTACTAAATTATAACCGTATTGACAAGAGAAATAGGCTAACATTTGGGCTTAACCAAAAACCCTCCATGCTGTGGTTTTAGAAGATAGTGGCACCCACTTTGGCTCCATATGGGAAATGCATGAGGTATAGGTCCAAAAAGTCCAGTTTCAGGTCCTTAAGTGTCCTTTCGCAGGCTCCCCTCACCAGAGATGGAATGTGGAAGGTGCACCACAACTATGGAAAAACAATTTGTATACTGAACCTGTCGGCGTGGGACACATTCGAGGTTAGTGAACAAAATGTGAATGATAAATACCCTGACTGATGTGCATAATTGCTGCATGTTTTTACGTCTGCACTCATTAGACTTGACACATTAGCGGCGCTTAAATGCGTTGATTGTGACGCCATACCTTGCTGACAATGAATAGATCCTCCCTCTTAACTGCTCCTTCGTCAATTGCGGCACGAATTCCAACCCCGACATCTTCTTCGTTCTGGTACACGTGAGCACCATCGATGTGCCTGTAACCGGCTCTTATCGCCAGCCTAATGACCTCAGTGGCCTTACCCTGGTCTGCCTGCAGCAGAAGGGTGAGGTAGAAACCAGGAGATAGCAGATGACCTATGTTTGCTCACAGGACAGGATATTTGTTAAATAATACTTGCAAGTAGGAGACAAGAGTTGACACACACACAAGTCATGTATCAAGGCAATTCAAAGGTCTTCTTCCCTGCTACTGCAATAATAGGGTGGGTGGAGGGGGGGGGCTACATACGTTTTGCTCCATGAGTCACAACGTGATTATATGGACATTTACGTACAAACGTCTTGGCCATCAGCTGACCTGGAACACAATGCATCTCTGTTGCGAGAGAGAGAGATCACAGACACTCTGTTGTCTAAGTTTGTCTACTGGCAAAGACAAAAAATGATTTATGTCTTCACAACACCTGTAATAACTGGAGAAGAAGAATTGATAATAAGATTTAAAGACGAGACCTTTCCCCCGCTGGTAACAATAGTACTACCAAATGTGTCCAGGCATCAGGTTTGTGCAAACCTCCTTTTAAGTCATTTTGCCGATGGGCTTTATTACGCTGCAGTTGCACTATTTACCTGCAGTATACGTAAGAAAGCTAGAGACTTTAAATCAGAACCCCTTAAAGTTAGAGGTTACTGGAAGAAAAGGAGAGTGGAGACAAGGTATCAAATCCAAACCTCCACCTATCTCCAAACTGTAGCAACATTATAATGATCTGCCTTACCCGCCAGGTTCCTATGCCCAGCATCGGGATCTTCGCTCCGTTGTTGAGTGCAATCAAAGATGCCATGTCGGGTCTTGGGTTGCAGTTCTTGCAGGATCAGTCAACCAGCAGCCTTCCGTCCATGCAGAGTGTACCGAGAGAAGTGACCGCCCCTTGTGTACTACAGTCAGTGGGACAGAGAGGGTGGGGGCACAGGAGCTGCAAAAGTGCATCAAGTTTTGATAAAACGTTTAAGTTATTAAAAATCATGCTGTACAAATGTTTAATAGAGCTGTATATTTGCAATTCAGCACATATTTGAAGACTGATAACGCATCCGTAGAACCAGCTCAAACCAAGCTTTTTTCTTTTTGCAGTGTATGAGACAGATACGTTACACACAGGCAACAGAAACATTGTTCAAAGGCTTTAAATAGGTCTACAAAAAGGACAGCACAGTTTGGGTGAGTGCGAAAGGCTTCAGTAGTGTGAAGTGTGGTGGAAATTTGTGGATTAAGCCCTTGTGAGAAATCAAAAGTATCTTGAACTCGCTTTGTGAAGTATTTATTACTAACTAGAATATAGAAACATGATAAAGAATACAGAAATAATCAACAGAAGCCATAAGTACACTTCAGGGAGGTGTGTGTTGTTTCAGCACAGGAGAGCCCCCCCCCCCGTCCTTGCAAAAGGAATGTATGGAAAAGTACCAAACGACGTAGGGAAGACAGTCTGACCCTCCCTCCCAGTCAATCAATAACATTTTGAAGATCAGTCAGTGCATGTATGGGTTCCAGGCTCATTTTGAGGGTCACATTCCTGAGAGAATCACACTATGCACACATTCTCCCCCGACATTAAGTACGCACATGTAAAAATGTCTGTGCCTGAATTGATTTAAATCCTCGCTGCTCTGGTGGTAATGATAGAAGTAGCCCTAGTTGAGTATTTGTATTTGTCACTCCTGTCTTTTTTTTATTATTATTTTTTAAATAATTAAAAGTATAAAAGACCGTGTGGACTCCATATTTTCTAAGGATGAATCAGAAATGTGACTCCACTCTAAACAGCACAGAGGCGAAGAAGGGAAGGATCTAAATGATCTTCTCCCTTTTGATTTGTTCGGGTTTGAAACTGAATAGTTTTCTGCCTCACTTAGGCTTAGTAATTAGTAAAAGTACATTTAGTAGCACAATGGAAGCTACTCCCCGAAGAGAGCGTGCAATTATAGGGGTTGCTTTGAATTGAAAAAATGTACACGGTGATTAAAAGCTCCACACATATTGGACATGGTGTGTTATGACGTTGATTTGATTTGCAAGTACAGGTCAGATATGGATTAATGAGTAAGGAACAGTACTTTTGTTGATGGCGGTCGGTCAGACAGTTTTGCGTTTTATGTAAGCTGAATCCCTAACAGTAAGGTTTGGAATTGTTTGTGCAGGACCAAGGACAAGAACAATGTTTTAGTCTGAAATTGCATTACACATGCAATAAGGCAAACACCGCACTTGTGGCACACCTAAGTGGATTGCTGTTTAATATGAGATCTATTAAGATTCTTTCCGAAAATAGTTATTTGATTGTGTCAGACTAGAAATCTAATGTGAAAATGTTCTTTTTTCCAGAGCTAACTGCATATTATATTATCCAAAAGTAACGTAGGATATTCATTTCGCAAACCGGGCTTTGCGGATGTGAGATTCTAACAGTGAAATGGTCACTACCCCCAAGCAGAATGATGATTTGTAAACGATTTGGTAGCGGAAAAGCAGCAGCATGAGTGTAAACAGTCTGCGGCTACTTCTTCTGCATTGTATACGCGTACAATCAAAAAATAACGCAAGCATTTGCAAAATGAAAGAAATTGTACTTCTGTAGATTAAGTTTACAGCGATGGCCCTTCTGTCAAGTGTTTAGGTTTTGTTAATCCGATAGTAAATTGACTTGATTGGTTTCAAATGTCATGCTTGCTTGTGACCAGCTTGTACAATGATACGCAGGAGGAGACCATACACAAAGACGTTGGTAATAGTAAGTTATAATGAAAATAAACTCTACATTTTGTTTGATCTGTTAAAGTATGGTGGACATTCAGCAGATTGCTTTAAGGCATAACAATTCTTCCACTTCGCCATGTGCTGTTCCTAAAAAAAAAATTTGGGTGGCGATTGGAACAAGTTAATACAATTGTTGAATTTTTTCCCTTTTAATATTGAGCTAGGCTGGATTCGAATTGCCATGATAAGAGCTGTTCAAACCCTACGGATAAGCAAAGGAGCTTCAGTGCTTCCCTACTTAGCTCCTTTAGCGTAGGAACCACTGGACCATGCTTTGCCAAAGGAAAGGAGATGATTCTCTCCCACAAATCCTTGCGGTGGCAACATTTAAATGTGACGTCCAGCCAGTGACGTCTCATTTGGCCGTTCGCGGGAAATAACGATCATGACCAAGATATGTAGATTATGTAAGTAACAGTTGGTGTAAATCATTTGTCAACCATGTCAATGGTTGATAAATGATTTACACTCTGTTGTATTATGTTGTCTGCGTGACGCACTGGAACAAAAGAGACATTGTAGTTTTGCCGCTGCAGACTGACGTCACTAACATGTAGTGATGGGAAGTTCGGATCATTTTACCGACTCGGCTCTTTCAATCTCGTTCAGTAAAATGAACAAATCTTTTGTCGAGGCATTCGTTCATTTCGGGGGGGGGGGGGTAGGATAAATTCCTGCATTAAAATAATGTATCATGACAGTCTGGATAATTTGAAGTGATCATTTATTTTCACACTAGCATTCAATTATCACGGCATAACTATTACGCTGAACTCTAGTACAAAAAAGTTAAAATAACGAAACCTGTAATTATTACTTGTGAAGGAATATCCTTCACGTCTTACTAAACCTAGTCACGCGAAAGTGAACGAGGTAAACAAATCATTTCTGTGTCCTCTTCTGAGCGCAGGTCACGTGAAAAATGATCCTAAGATCCGAATCCGAAGACCCAGTCAAAATGTACGAATCATTTCGGTTTTAACAACAAGAACAGAAAACCCGAAAACCGAGCCAGTCTGCTTCAGCCTGTAGCCGGCCGGCCACCCTAGACGCAAGCCTAGAAAAATGGGTTGACACACGCAAGGACGCAAGGAGGTGTGAAAAGGGACGCAAGGGACACGCAAGGGGGTCATGCCAAAAGCACAATCACTGCCCCACTGACCTTTCCTCTGCAAATCACTTCCACATTCAAACAATTCACATAAGTCCCTATGACTGCCATGAAATGGACATGCAGTAGGAAGCACTTGCTGGTATTTTAAATGATATTGCTTACATATAATTCATATATATATATATATATATATATATATATATATATATATATATATATATATATATATATATATTCTGCTAGTATGATCACAAACATACATGCACAAAGGTGCAGAAAGACAAAGATAAGTGTTTGTTCCACTTCTTTCCAATGTACAGAAATACACAAACAAGGACACAATTCAAACCTGCAAAACAATCGTTTTATTCATATAAACTCCATGTATTTAGTAGATGATTTATTGGTTCAACTTTTCATAATCAGAGATTGGCCAAAATATACTTGTAGGCTATTAGATACATTTGCACTACAAGTTTTTAACAGCAAAGGTCATCATAGAGTTTGCGATGCATTGAATGAATTAACCTTTTCCCAATACAATTGGCTGGAAAGCTTCACTGGTTCAGAAAGCTTCACTTTGCCATCACTACTAACCCATCACATTATATTTTATTTTATTCCTCGTGACTCTTGTCGTCCATTGTCGTGCTGTTATGCACCAACCGCCAAGTCAAATTCCTTGTATGTCTGACATATAATGGCAATAAATGTTTCCTGATTATTTTATTCTTCTATTTATTCAGCATAGACTTCATTGCCCCTCACCCATTGACCTTCATTGCATCGCCATTCTCAGAGCAGTTTGCTCCCCCCTGCCAAGCCGGACTGACCTGACAGTTCACCGAATCTAGACTCCTCCGGGGAGGATTTGACTAAGTGTTATTGGCAGATTCCTCTGTTGTCAGAGTCCAAGAAAAAAAACTGCTTTCTCCACTCCGTATGGGTTATACCAATTTACTACGCTTCCATTTGGCTTGTTTAGTGCCACGGCCATGTTCCAACGTCTCATGGATCGAGTGCTGCGTCCACACGCTGCATACGCTGCCACCTACTTGGATGATGTCATTATCCACAGCACCACCTGGGCGGGTGGGCGCGGTGCTCGTGTCCATTTCTTCAGAGGTTAGCTGAAGCTTTCAAAAGTTCAGAACAAACCAGATTATGTGAAATTATATTTGATTTAACTGAACACATTTTTAAACATTTGAATTCCCAGTATGATTTAATGCAAAAACAAACACAGTATTACTTTGCAGTTAAATATTTAACATTTATTCCAACAGTTTAACATAATAAGGACATCTCATTCAAACAATTCAGTTTTATAAATATCCAATATAAATGTTATATTAAAGGATAAATATATTACAACATAAATATATGTATATCAAATGTATTAGAATATCTATGAACCCAGTGTGTTAAGGAAAGACCAACTCAAAAACCCCACAAAAGTTGACACAATGAATTATTTTGGATAAAATGTGCCTGTTTTCATCCACGTCCTGGTTGTGTGTCCTCACTGCTGTCCTGTGTGCGTCACAGCTGGGTAGCGAGACTATACGGCGTTAGCATGTAGCTAACTAGCTAGCCAAACTTTCCGGTGTAGTCTCGGTAAAGTGCCATATGTGTGGCTTCCCTTTCAGGCCGGTCCGTTGTCTGATTGTGAAGTCTGGCTGATCTGGGTCCAGCTGTTTCACCTCTAGTTTCTCTGGCAACGTTCTTTTCTCGTACCAAGTTCGGGTAGGGTCTTCTTGGAAGGACACGGCCGGTGGTCGCTCCTGTTATGTCGTGAAACGGCGCGTCGGAGACTCGCTCTGCCGAGAGCGCAGCGTAGGGTGGCGACAGTAGGGCCGAGTGCAAAAAGTGGTCGGTGGAAGGTTCCTTTGTCCGGACGGCAGGTTCCTGTGGCCGGTGGCAGGTTGCATTGGTCGGTGGTCGGTTCTTCCGGTGGTCAGTGGAAGGATTCTTTTTCAGTGGAGACATGGACCCGCCCCCTCCTCATGCAAAAGACATGTTAATGAGTATCTTCACGACCACGGGTTCGCCGTAAATCATTCTTTCACCCCCCTCCGCACCCCGGCCAAACCGTTCACTCGACCACTAGAAATGGGTTATTTAGCATGCGCGGTCGATACATATGTCCCTTTTATTGTTTTAGCGTTGCCATGCCTCTTTGATTACCGCCAGCGTCCTACGCTGTGAACGGCCGGTCACATGAACCGTCGCCACCTTCCCATGATGAAATTGCACTTTTATGTTCATGTTGAGTTTGTATCCTTATGTTTGAAATGCACTTATTGTAATTTCATCATGAGAAGGCGACTGTTCATGTGACCTGCCGTTCACATCATAGGACGGAGGAGCCGGGCCAAGAACAAATGGTTGAAGTGTTTGTGTGAGCGAATATAAATGGTATGTGAAAAATCATTACATGAAAGGATTTGGATTTTAACAAATAGCAAAGCATTTATTTGCAAGGCAATTTAACAAATTGGCAAAGGTGTAACAACTTCATGAGGACCAGGGATCTAAACGCAACCTTTGTTGTCTTTGTCTGTTTACTTGCAACGCTTTTGACATATATAGTTCCAAAGGATAAATCAAGCTAAAAAGTGCTTTTTATTTAAGGCAAACCTTTTTTTTGTGCAGTGTACCATCTTCATTTTGTCTTAAGCTGCAACACTGACATTTACACATCTGGATAAAGTGTTACCTTTATTATGCCACCCAGATTATTCAAGTAGATCTTATGCAGACAAACCTTTTTATATCCTGGGCAGTGTTTCCCACACCATTATAACAGGGGGGCGCCCCCTGAAGTTGTAAACCAAGGGGAAACACTGATGGGTATGCCATTTTCGAGCAGTGGCCTGAACAATGTCTTCCCGCCTCTTTCTTGACAAAACTATTTCTTTGACCTTTCTTTTGAACAACAGACAGGCAACATTATGGAGGCCTTCCATGAGACACTAATAAGGCCCTCTTATCATTATTACTTCAAGTTACTTACTTACTTATTACTTACTATTTCAAGTGTGATGTTGTGTTTTCTTTTGCAGGAAACCTTGACCACAAAGTTATGAGATGTCCAAAATGGAGTGAAAACCGGAATGACAACGGAACGGGAGAGTGTTTGTAGAACAGAAGGATGACTAATGCAGACTATGATGCTATCCCATGGTAACTATGCAAAATCGGTATCCCATAGCAACAATCTCCACATCTACAGAGATCAAAGGGAAACGTTGATGACATCACGGAATGCTTTAAGAAGTGTTCCCTGATCCACTCTCAGATCAGTTTGTTTCAGAGAGGACTTCAGATCAGACACAAGTTTGTTTCAGAGACCACTTCAGATCAGACATCGTTTTTTTCAGAGAGGACTTCAGATCAGACATAAGTTTGTTTCAGAGGCCACTTCAGAAAAAGAAAGAATGACCAACGTCCAGCAAAAAGACACCATGCCGGAGAAAATGGAAGTCAATTCCAAGGTTGTTGATCCTCCGATGAACTTTTACCTACGTTCACTGGAGGAACAAGCACGGGTTGAGCTTAAGGACAGCCGGGCAAAGCTCACCCAAACCGAATCTGTGGGGAGAGTTCTCCTCCAGATCGATGAGGACAGATTGCAACAGTTCCTCGACCTTCTCCAAGAATATAGGAATGGAGATGTACACAAGGAGATGTGTAGCCTGAAAGCACAGCTAGAACAGGCCAGAAGCAAGATCCCAACTTCCCTGGATGGTGCTGCAATGACATCGTTTTCAGCAGCGAAAACTAACCTGGAGTTGAAAAATGACCTGGAAATCGAGAGGGCTCAAACAAAGAAGCAGCACATGGAACTGACAAAGTTGTCAGAAGCTCTCAGAAATGAGCAGGAGGCAGTAAAAAATCTGACGGAAGATTTCCAGGCTTTCCATATGGACAGGATGAGGCACCAGAGAGCGGAAACAGAGAAGATGGCAGCTGCCCTGAAAACAGCACTGGGTGAGAACGTCCCCGCTCAGCAGGTGACCACCAAGCAGAATGAGATGGAGCTGCACAAGGACTGCAAACTTAATCAGGCCAAGCAGACGAAGGCTATCATAGAGCTCACGGCTGCTCTGAAGAAGTCTGAGCAGGACCAGAAGAATGCACATCGTCAGTGGCAGCAGGAGAAGTCTTCCCTGACCTGCCAGCTAGAAAAACAGAAAGTTGAGACCATCAAGAACACGGAAGTTACCGATAGTCTGTTGGAAACCTTCCGTCAGCAAACGACCTCCCTCAAGACACAGCTGAATTCCTCACGGGAAGAAACTCTTCACAAGCTGCAGACGCAAGACAAGATCAACAGAAAACTCACAGTTGCTCTGAAGAAAACGCTTGAAGATCAGCTGGAGAGTGAACATTTGAAATGGAAGCAGGAGAAAGAATGCCTGCAGTCTGCCATGTTGAAAAACTCCTTTGACCAAAACAATGAAAAAGGGAAGAACAAAGACCTCTTGGCCGCTGTGGAGAAAGCTGAGCAGCAGCTGGAGAGTCGCACCATTGAGTGGGAGCAGGAGAGGACTTCCTTCAAAGCCAGGCTGGAAAAAACATGCCAGGACCTTGAACATGCCCAGCTGAGGAACATCACTGCTGTTCTTGCAATGGAGAAGGAGGCTGTGGAGATGTTTGAAAGAAACCAGGCATCCCACAACCAGCTGGAGGAACAGAGAGCAGAGACTAACAAGATTACAAGAGCTCTGAAAAAAACTGCAGATCTGTTAGAAAAGCAAAGCTTCAGCTTTCAGCAACTGACATTGCAGCTTGAAACATCCTGTGCCACCAAGCTGGAGGCGCAGCAGGAGGACCACAACAACCTCCTAGCTGCTCTGCGGAAGAAGTTTGAAGATGAGAGAGAGAGTGAATGTCTCCAATGGCACGAGACAAATTCTTTCCTCACTCAGACCGCAGAACAATCGCTGGAAAGGGAGAAGGAGCATCTGAAGGACAAGACCTGCTTATTGTCTCAGCTGGCAGAGCTTCAACAGCAGATCCCCAAGAAGCCGAAGAAGAAGTGGTACAAGCTATTCTAACGCCCGGCTGCAGAGTTCAACAGCGATAACACCACCATAAAAACACACACACACATAAATACACACACATAGAAACACACACACACACACACACATAAAAACACACACACATAAATACACACACACACACACACACACACACACACATAATTACACACACATAGAAACACACACATAAATACATACAATTAAACACACATACACAATTAAAAACATACACATAGATACACACAATTAAACACACATACACAATAAAAAAAATACACATAGATACACACAATTAAACACACGTACACAATTAAAAAAATACACATAGATACACACAATTAAACACATACACATAGTCACATGTCCTCTCCAGGAACCATCACGTTATCGGGGTGGAGAGGTTTGCGTGTCCCAGTGAACCTGAGGGCTGTGTTGTCTGGAGCCTGGTGCTCCTGTAGGGTTTCCCCTGGCAAAGAGGTCTCAGGCGAGGGACCAGACCAAGAACGGTTCAAAAAGACTCAACAAAACAAAATAGAGGAGGGCGGGGGTGAAGGGCTCGACGGAGAGCGTCTGGTGGGCAGGTGTAGGCCGACGGAGTGCCGCGGCACACTCTCCCCTCCCTGTGGGCTCGCCAATGGGTGCGCTGCTGCATGGGTGGCAGTGGCAGTGGGGGGGTCTAGACGGACCAGGCCCGGGTGGCAGATGCTGCCTCTGGGGACGTGGAACATCACCTCTTGTGGAGAAGGAGCCGGATGTCGTGCAGGAGGTGGAGCGCTGCAGTTAGGTGTGGTGGGGCGAACCTCCACACAGCCGGCAGGCAAAGGTCTCGTTCCCTCGTGATTGTCGACCTGCGTCTCCTCCGTGTATTTATCCATGTGTGTCCCTCGTCTGCCGTTGGTTTGTTTGAGTGATGATGTTCGCAAAATCCGGTTCCTGCTTTCCTCGTGATCTTGTTCCTGCTTGCTCCTGTAGGTATTTTGTATCCTTGGTTAAAAGGAATTTACTAAGAAATGCCAAAGAGCGAGCGGGAACAGGAGGAAGCCGGAAGAAGATAACAGCAACGTCACCACCCGACCAAAAAATGACAAACATACCGAAGACATGACGAGAGAGACAATGGTTTAAACACACCGAGGAGGTGCAGGTGATTGGACACAGGAGGAAATAATTCGGTACAAGGCAGACAATCATAAGAGGGGTTGAAAACACAAGCTAACCCAGGGACACGTTATGAACATTAATATACCAACACACCTTTCTAGCCCTGACCGTAAGTGACTTACAAGCATCCTTTTAATCAAAGAGCAGACACTGCGGTGTGACAGGGCTTCATGTCACCATTGTACCTGCTTCACTACAATAGCTGGTCCAACGGGGGTCATAGGCTTCATCTGAACGTCCCTCCCACAGTTTCATTAAATGTTACGTTTGAGTGTTTCAAACTGCTCAATGGTGCTTCCAGCAGATCAGATCTAACTCCCTCTTTGTATGCACCAACACACACGACACGACACAACACAAGATGCACCATCCAGCTACCAATGTGTGGATTTCTGTCCCTTGAAGGACAGCTGGCGACCATACTGGGTTTTAAACATAAGGAACCTTTTCCATTACCCACACACGTAACAACCCTTTATGACACCAAAAACCCTTATAGATCACCTTGATTAAATCTATCTGTGAGCAGGTCTATGATAGTCGAACTGGCTTTCTCATGTATTGTCATATAATGTTTTATGGTTCACTGAGTCTTGTCCTGTGCTCTTTTAATCAATCGACCTGCAATTTACAGAGACTGGTCACTAATGATGTTAAATTCTGGTTGGAGCGGTACAAGTCCTGCATCTCCTTAAACAACTCGACATGTCGGTTATTTGAGTCAGTGTCGTGATTCATGCTCGTTTGTGGATCTATTACTGTAAGTCTAGGCATATCCTCTTCGGCATTCGGTAAAATCAGCGCAGAGGACCCTCTCTGCTCACCTGCGGCCTCCTGTTCTCACATCCTCTTCGAGCTCAGCACAGCGGAATAACTCCTCATCGCTTATCGTGTCGACGTATCTTGGAATAAAAAGTTCAGTCTCTTCATTTGGTTTAGACCAAGCCGCCACATCCCGTCGGTGCAATAATAAAAGAAAGCTGTTTAAACACATGTACATAAACGCAAATCTAAAAATATACCCTCAATTTGAGTGTTTAACCCCACCCTCTTTATTGGGAGGAATCCATAGGCCGTTTTCGAAAATATTTCACAGTTATAATAACATTTTTGTTCTTTACTTTTTATATCACACCAATCACTTCATTACCTTGTCAAGATGCCTTGCTTGTTGAGGGCAGTGGTGAGCCACTCAACGCCTTGATTTTCTTTTCTATTTCTTGAAGGTTTCTTATCTAAGTCTGTAGTTAGCTTTGTAGCTTGTAGTTAGCTTTCCGCAAGCTTTAGGATTCCGGTTGCAGCCGATATCTAAAAGATCTGCATGCATGTAAATACATTTTAAATACGTTAAGATGGAGAAAATAAAACAATTATAAATTACTCAACCTCATTGGTGCTCTGGGTGGTTAATCCCATTTGGGCTGTCATATCGTTGAGAAACCTTAATGAATATATACTTTTAAGAATAATGATGATGCTTATTTTACTAATACATGTAATTAACAATAAAATACGCTACTCACCATCACAGTGTTCCATTGTTGCACCGGTGTGGCAAAATTGTCCCGTGATAGACGTCTTAAACTCTCTGTAGCTGCATACTGCAAAGTTGTTTGGTAAGCATTTGGTCAGCTTGCAAATAGCTAAAGACATGCAGCTCTGTGGCAGTATTTTACATACAGGAAACTAAAAAACGGTGAGGTGTGGTCATCCTGTCTACCCCTGTGTTGTTTTATCATTACTCATTCACCCCTTTTATAACATAATGCAAGGTTTGACCTCTCTCACACACACAGGCTGTGGCTGAGTCTCAAAGGCGCTAGGCTGCATCCTTAAGGACGCGTTTGTCGACCGCATGCGTCACTTCTGCTGTTTAAATTTAACGTTAAGTAACGTTAATAGAATTCACACGAATATCTACCTATAGAAATGTTATAATATATTATATAACATCACATCTCACGTTACCGGGAGCCGCTCCGCAGTAAGCGGCAGCTCGTCTGCCCGCATCCGCCCCTAGTTATTAGTTATGAACCTAAAATATCACATTCTCAGTAAGTCAGTAACGTTACAGAATAAATACACAAGAAACTGAGCTTGCTTTTCTCCTTTTGTCTTGTGGTGATGCGGCCCCTGCAGACGTCCAACTATGGTTTGTAGATTGTGTGCGGGATTCTCGGAGTGTTGGCGAGTTGAGGCCTTTGAGCGAGGGCGGCCACTAGTTGCGGCTTAATTAAGTTGGCGACGGCAGGTCGCGCGCAGTGGCTGCGTGAAGCCTTCTCCCGCAGACAGTGTGGTGATGTTTAACGCCGTGTCTCCGGGTCAATGGTTCGTTCATCGTTCATTTTTCACGTGACCTGCGTAGGCTCAGCACTGGTACCACTTGGTTGGCAGAAGGATCATTTTCCACGTGACCTGCATTCAACGAATCATTTGTTTCCTTGGCTGAGCCTATGCAAGTCCCGATGCGTGGCCACGAGAAAATGAACAAATCTTTTTTTGAGAGGACCCGTTGCTCTCGAGTCCTTGTGAGGATTAGTTCAAAATGAACGAATCGTTCGCGAACGACACAGCACTACTAACATGCGTCTCCCGTCGCATCATAACTACGTAGCTTAGTGAAAGTGGAGTCAGATTCCCTAAAATCCACGGCTGTCTTTTCCTACACCCCCATGAATTTTCCACATAGGTCAAGAAATAGTGGTTAGGAATAGACGTTAGGATGCGTTCTATGGTGACACAAACATTTTGTCAGCTTCCTTCTCCATAGGAGGCTGTTCCCTTCTGCAGGTGGTCGGTCTGTGGTATCCTGAACCGGCGTTGTGCCAGTACGCCCTCTGCTGGTGTTCAGTCAGAACAACAGTTGGATTTGCAATAGAAAGTGTAGTCTGCAAAGCCTGATGCAATTTAATGCTCAGTAAAACACATTTACTTAGGAACACATTTCCGGTCCCAGCACAAAACACAGACTTTTGCTTTTAAAACATTTTTATTCATTCTCGAAACATTATGCAACCAAACAAATTTAGGCCACACACACACACACACACAAATACAAAGTGCGAACATAAGACAATGACATCAACTAAGCACTCTCTATGAAAGATAGGCAACATGAAGGGCAAAGAGGCCGATTATTGCACATAATGATCAGTTTCAGAAACTTCTCATATCATTCAGCTGGGCTGGTTTATGACGCCAGGCTTTCTGTAACCGTGCAAAAAACTGGTTACAAAACAGCTGAGAGAAAACAGAAGTTCACCAGCATATTTCACAGAACTGATGTTAACCTCCTGCCCTGACTGAAGGTGGGTGAAACTCTGTAGGAAGAGACAAAAACGAGGTAACAGTTGATGGTGGCCAACTTGCACACTTTTCAGGATGTGAAGTTAAATTTGAAGAAAAATACTGGATAATAGATTTCAATCCGCCTTTTTTTTGCAACACTGGATAATTAATAAAAACTAAGAAAATGCTCAAACCCTGAATACACTGTGCTTGGATGAGCCGTTTTTTTTATATAATGTGAGCACAATAATAGTATGGCCTGATTAGTTGTAGAACGAATGCTACAGTGACAACTTGAATTGCTCTCGAAGAAAATAAAGGAATAAAATAATCTTTTAACCTTAGGCCACACCTAGATTGTACCTTTTTACGTAAACAAAATAAACCCGGAAAGCTAAATGATGGCCTGTGCTACGGGTAACAACTCGAGTGAGTTATTGCTTGAAAGCAGCCCTTTATCACGTCAGCTGGTAAAGGGAGAATTTTTTTTTCCTGACAAAATCACACGCAGAAAATTACATAAAGCCAGGCGACACTGTTCTCTTTCCCACCGAGTGATAAATTAGCATCCAATTCCAAAACCTCAACTAATATAAATCCTAAAGTGTCCAAAGTGGCTGCGATCCGCAGGGCGCCGTCTCAAGAGCAGTCAGTGAAGGTGGTCACCATGTTGCCCCTGCGCTGGGTCACCGTCCTGCAGTGCTGCTTCCCAGAACCCTGGAACCTCCCGTCGGTCCTGGAGCCGTGTGCGTTAAAGGAGAACATCTTCTCCAAGTCCTCAAACATGTCATCAAAGAGCCCCCCACCGAAGCCCCCCTGCTGAAACTGTCTCTTCTGTCTGTTCATAGCCTCCCTGTGGGCCTGGAAGTGCCCGTCAAAGTGTCCCTGGGGGTGAGCGTGATTTTGGGAGTGAAAATGGTGTCGGTGTTGACCAAAAGTGTCGGCGTCTTTGAAAAGGTCATCGAAGTTGAAGGACTGGTAGTGCTGGTTGAAGTTGTAGTCACCTCTTCCTCCTCTGTGGCCCTCCCCAGGCGACGGCCCGTGGCCGAACTGGTCGTACTCTCGCCTCCTCTTGTCATCCGACAGCGTCTCGTACGCTGGGTGAGACACAGACACATCACATGGTTGCCATGACACTGCATCGCAAAGGTGTGAGAGCGTTTTTTAAGTTCAATCTTGAGTTCTGTAGTGCTACTTTGATTATCTATCTATTGCAGAACGAGAAGTCTTATTAAGTCAGTTTAAACACTGTTGACTGTAACAACCGTAGTTATGCACCTGTGGTGGACATATTGAATGGTTGACATTTTGAGGGAATAAATCAATGTTGTTTTTGGAAAACCACTGACTCACTCACCTTCTGCTATCTCCCTGAACTTGGACTCTGCGTCGGGGCCCTTGTTTCTGTCAGGATGGTACTTCAGGGCCAGCTTATGGAAAGCCTTTTTAATCAGGCGTTCGGTGGCGTCTCTGGGGACCCCCAGCACGTCGTAGTAGTCCCTCTTGGCCAGGATGAACTCGGAGATCAACAAAACATGCACGGCGAGCACCAACGCCGACTGCACGGTGGCCATACTGTACCTTTACGTGCTGTAGAGAGGGAGAGAGAGAGAGAGAGATGGACGGGTCGATCAGACGGTCAGAGCCGTGGGTGACTTTAAAAGCGGGTTGAAACTTGATCATCCAACTATTTTAAGTAAAACAGCCAGCATACAGGTTCTGTACCATTGTTAACGTTACGTAACGTCGCTAGCTAACGTTGGTTAACAGAGCTGTTTATGTTCTTCCATCAGCTTGTCAATGCTAATATGCGGTTAGTGCTCAGTAGGACATAAACTACCCATGACAAAACAACGTTAATGTGTATCGTGAAAAAGAGGGTTTACCTGAGGACGAGGTGACGTACGGCCTTGGGGGGGGGGGGGGATACTTCTATCAGCCGCCGACAGCTCCAACTGAGGAACACGGATAGCTAGCGAGGGTTGACGAGCTGCATTCCTGAGCAATAACACCACGACTCGCCACGCTATTGGTCCATTTCTCACCACGATGACTCGTGGAACTGTGATTGGTGGAAATAGTGCGCACGTGGAGAGTAGGGAGTTTCTACAAAGAATACAAGCGGAACAAGAGGGTTAAATGCACATACTTCCGTCTTTGCTTTACATTATTATTTCGGCATTATTGAGTGTAGTAAACCTAACACTACAGCCCCGTACTTTATATAGTTGGTATGTTTAATACCTTAAAGCTTGTCTTTTTTAGAAAAATGGGATGAATGCTCAAATTAGATATGTCATTATTATCGGTTTGTCGTGATAGCTGTCACGTTGCCTGTCTTGTTTGTTGAACGGAGTAAATGTTTTAACGTTATATATTAATTTATACGTTTTCCTTTTTGTGGTCTGTTATAATAGATGAATCCCTAAATTAGACATGTAGCGTTACGTGACTTGATTTCTTCTTCGTCGTTGCGCAACACCTTGTCGTCCTATATTTTACGTGAACTAATGTTACCGCGTTAAGTTACGTCATATCCGCTCTTAGCACAGCAAACCCGGAAGTTCCCGTTTACGAGCTTGTTGGCGTAAAAAGATAATCGACAAACGTGTTTTTTTATAAAGCGTTTTCATGTAGTTTCCCTGCAGATATGCCGCGGTACTGCGCTGTGAAAGTTTGCAGAAACCGAGGGGGAACTGCATCTAGACAAGACAACAAAAGAATTAGCTTCTACCCGTAAGTTAACTTAGCTGATTTATGTTTCACATGGTTCCGAGTGTGTGTTTGTTGCTGCAATTGCCGCTTATTTATTATCCTCTGAATCGCCAAAAGAAATATAATTTTGGTTCAAGAGGCATCGGGAAGTTGACAATAATGGCATGCATGCATGCAACGGACATGCCATTATTGTAACATGACAGTAACACATCCAAGTGTCAACTGATGTAGAAACCAGGAGCAAAGTCTTTTTCAAACCGCCCCCTTCATTTGCCCTGCACCCAAAAGGTTTCCTTTGCAAGACAAGCCCAGGCTTCAGAAATGGGTGGACAACATGAAGCGGGGGGAGTGGACTCCGAGTCGACATCAGTACCTGTGCAGCGAGCATTTCACAGAGGACTGCTTCGATGTTCGATGGGGCATCCGCTACCTAAAGAACACGGCCATCCCCACCATGTTCCTCTGCGCTGAGGATGTATGGATTTGTCTCGTTCCATGTCTCCCAACACGGTTCTATCGTACAGTAAGAGCTTGCTGCACAACACAAACTTGTCTCTGGGCCAACTCACTGATATTGTGTAGTGTTTCCTGAAAGACAAAGAGCATAAATTAAATGTCAACTTTCCCTTTCTGGAAACTCCAAGGTGCTTCAGACTTCAAGTGTTTGGTGTGCAACAAGCCTAAACTTCATTTTGTGTTATTTTGCATTGCTTGTGATTGACTAGATCCATTTTTTCCCCCCTGATTTAGGATGCCGAGGAAAAGGTTACACGCATTAAAAGAAGCCCCAAGGCCAAACCCTTGACCTTTGACATCGACTCTACTCTCAGCAAGAGGCCGCTGGTTTTTAGCGGATCATGTAAAAATGTCCAGCCCTGCACCCCGAACAGCATTGCTGCCGAAGCTGCAGAGATGGCGTTTGAACTGCCTCCGGTGTCTGCGATCGCCGGTCAGTCAGATCTTACAGAGATGCGCACTGCTCCTTGTGACTTACCAGGTGATAGTAGAAGACCAACGGTGTCCTACCTTGCACTGTCCCCATGCAGCGATGCCCGTCCTCAGGACCAGGCTGAATCCACTGTGACCGTCTTGTGCTGCGAGTCACTGGGTCTCCTGTCGGACGGAGAGGAGAATGCGCAGGCGTCAGCGCTCAAAGCAGCGCTGGGTCAGACTTATAGCTTCGTCCCGGTGCAAATGGTCGAGGGCGAGCCGGCGGCCTGCTTTTCGGAGCGGACGGGGCCCTGCGAGCGGGAGCACATTTCCCTTTGCGAGCACTCGTACTGCAGATCGGACACAGACAAAGAGGAGCTTTGGCGTAAGATCTTGAGTTTGCATGCAAAGATCTTGGAACTGGACCACAGAGAGGAGAGCACCTTAACCAAAATCCATGCTCTGGAGACCGAGGTAGCGCTCCTGAAGAGAGACGGTGTTGTATTTAAAGCGAAGCAGAAGATTTTGGAGGATTATATATCATCAATGTTGATTGTATGAGGATTTTTCAAGCTAGGTACTGTGAAATGAGATTGTGGATGTGCAGGGATTTGTTGCCATTGAGTCACTTGCTGCAATGTCCCACAGCAGCAGAGTCTTTCAAAGCTCTCCTTAACGCTTTGTTCTGCATTTCTCTTGTTCATACGTCGATAAGCCCTTTTTTGCAGCAAAAAAAATGACTTTTTGTGGAAAAAGGTGCAAAGAGATTAAAATGAATTAGGTCTGTCTTTCATCAAGCTGTGTTTGTATGTCACACTGTCATGGCTTATTGAGGTTCTTATATAGAACAGAGCTGTCTTTTGTTATTTGTCACAACTGTGCTTCTGCCATGTCTGCGGTGAGAAAACGATTCAGTTTTCGTCCACACGGCGGCACTGGAGGATCGTCCTCACAGGAAGCGTTTTGAATCTTCATCGATTCATGGCTTGTTGCTACGCATCACTCCTACATATTTATATATGTACTGTTGATATGACACGGACGTCAGGTGTGGTCAATGCATTATAACGTATTAACCCTTACCATGAAGTATGCTTGAGACCTATTTAATACCATCATTTACAGCTCACGAGCGCTGTGTTTTACTTGGGGGGGGTTGTTGTTGTTGTTGTTGCTGCTTGCTGTGTAAATTCGCATCAAATCAATGCTCGACTCGAACAAACCCATTCAGATGTCTGTTGCTGCTCTCCTTGTCATTCACTCGGGTTCATGTCCATGCCAGCAGAGGCTCGTTTGAATTCTGTGATGTCATCATCGCCCATACCGGCCACTTATTCTGTGAGATGTTCTGCTTTTAGAGAAAAGTCAATGATGGATTTAATTTGTTGTAGAATGATAAATGTGTTTCCTAACAGGGGCTGTTTGTGGCCACTATGTCCCCTTTTGGTTGTTTTAAACCCCCACAATGACAGGAGCACGTAGTTGTTGCAGGATTTATCTGCCACATTTCTACCCCAGGGCTCTATTAGCCGTCATAGTTTTTTGACCAAATTAGGTACGTATTCCTATTGGATGTAGCATTCCAGAGCGAGCCGTCGGCGGTCTCTGCACTGTAGCTGGCCTGCTCAGAGAATAGCTGGAACAGTGGATGTGACTGTTAAGACATTGTATTTTTTTTTTTTAATCAACTTTAAATCATCAATTATTTAGGCAAAAAAAAATGCTGCATACCTTTATCTGCTTGTGAGCACATGCAGGGGTTTTAAAAGGCATTGAGAGGCAGAGGAAGGGGTGGAATCCAAATAAATGATTGCACACGTGCGTTTGTGAAGTGCAATTTTAAATGTCTCTGGTGTTTTGCATCATTTGAACAGATTTGCAAGGTGACGTTTCCTAGTGAAGAATTACTGGGCCCGTGGCAAAGATTAAGATAATGGCTTTTTGAACTAAAACGGCCTTAATCACGTTGCTTTGCATTTCGGCAGAAAAGGTGAACATGCATTAGTCTCCCTAATGCACAGTGATGACAATTCAGACATGTACCTAATTTGCAAGTTTGCTTGGAAATGTGTGATATTAACAAAGCCATTCACAGCTATGGAAATAGAATTAATTAACTAAGCACTATGAAATGAAACTGTTGTGTAAAAAAAAAAACTGCAATCAATGCATAAGAAAAAGAAAATGAGCAAAATATTATATGAAGGCTATAATATATAACGTATTTTTAAAAAGAAGGAAGGGAGAGTCATTTACATATTCTGAACATGTATCATACATGTCCGTGCACACGTGTAGAGAGAAAAGCTTTAGGTCTAAAATGTTTGGGTTTTTTTCAGTAAGATGTAGCACTAAAAAGAAGACACTGTACAACGGGCGGGTCGTCTGGGAAAGTTGACATGTTCCGGTATGCGTCATGTACCGTATCTTAGCTAATTTCATAAAAAATGTGTTCCCTTCTTTCATGCATGACTGGTGTTTTATTCATGACATCCAACATTAACTGGCAGTACTCATGCAGACACATATCTAGTCAGATTAAGACAACAACATATAGACTTAACACGAAGTTAATGTGGAGTTCGCCAGGCGTGGGGGGTGTATCTTAAATGACCTTTTGATATGGATCGTCTGCAATGGTGCATGAGGTTTTTCTTCAGCTGTAGTAGAGATAAATCCACGGGTTGGTGCAGCTGTTGAGGCTGGCCAGCAGCATAATGATGGCAAACACTGGGCCTGTGAGATAGAGAAAGAGTTGAAACAAACACTTGGTTACAGTTATCTCGTGGGCCTGAACCACGGTGCCATTAAACACGTCTGGTCCTCACTTTGACAAACCTTGAGTAGGCGTGCTGCTGGGGCTCCACGCCGACCACAACTGGACAACAAAGAATGGGCTCCAACACACTGTGTATGTCATGATAATAACAAATGTCATTTTGACAGTCTTCAGCATGGCGCTGGAGACCCCCTTGGACACCCCCTTGGTGCCCGCGCGCACTGCCTGCAGCGCCTTTCTCTTCATGTTGAAGTAGATGGTTGTGCATATTCGTATTTGGCAGTAGAGCACGATGACTGCGGGGATGACAAACACCGACATGGTGATCCAGGTGATGTAGATCCGGCTCCCCCACGGTTCGATGAATGTAGCCCAGCATTCGTACTGGTTCTCCTGCACCTCCTGCAGAGAGAAGATGGAGATTTGTGCAGCGCTGAAGGCGAGCGAGATTAGCCACGCCGCCCCTATGGACAGGTACCTCCTAAACGAGCCCTTCAAGAAGGAAACCATCGGTCTACAAACCGCATGGTACCGGTCTATGGTCATGGCCACTATCATGTACGTGGAGGCAAACATCCCGACCACCTGCAAGTATTTCACCAACCGGCACAGGAAGTCAGTGCCTCGGAACCGGTGCGTAATTTCCATGAGAAACTGCGGCAAGACTTGGAAAAAAGCGACCACCAGATCTGCCAGGCACAGGTGTAGAAGGAACAGCTGGGTCTTTGTGTTTCTTTTTCGCCTCTTCCAAAGTATGCACAAGAAAAAAATATTTCCACATGTTGCAAGAAGAAAAACCAAACCTAAAATCCCAGCTTTGACGAGCGCAAAACGTCCGTAAACGTCTCCCTCCTCAGTCGTTGCCTTTTCTGAACTGTTGCTGCGGGAACCCATTTCATTCCTGGTGTTTCCACAATTTTCCCCGTCAACGCACGGAACGTCAGCTGGCGTTATTCTCTAGTGTTGTTGCAGAGCCATCTTGGCATTTTCCTTCTTTGCGCGCGCGTCGCGAGTGACTGCTGCTTGGAGAAACGGAGCCACCGACCCGGAGCGGTGAGGGCAGCAGCAACCGATTCTCAGGCTTATGTTGTACACTGACATACACGAAATAAGAGTGGTATTTACCCCAGTGAGGCGGGAAAAGGGGATTTGCCATGTTGGGATGAATCAAACCCATAACTTCAAAATGTACGCGCTTTAATCACACATGTAGCTACTCTTCAAAATGAGTTATGGTTATTATGTATCTACACTGTTGCTTGCCACATCCAATGCAGCGCACCACTGTTATTTAACTGCTGTGCTCATAATATGAAAGTGCTCATGCTCTTTTCAAAATGTATTCTGTTATGGAGCTTAAAATATCTTTTGTCCCCAGACATCCTTTGTAAATGAATCTGCACCTCTTCCCGAATGCGTCTTGAGGGAGGAATCAAGTCAAGAACAACTACTAATGGCGAAAACGAAACATGAGACTTCAGTGCTGCTAAATGCCTTATGATTGCTCATGTTGCCATGAACGCTTTGACATTTGGATTTCTGTGGCGCAGAACAAAATGCAGACTGAGAGCGGAAAGGAAGGAGTGAATACAAATGGTAACAATCACACGCTCACTACTTTTGTGTGTGCAGTGTGAAGGTTTTGCCTCAAAATTCGGACGTATGACTGAAAGGGGGACTTGATTGTTAGAATTAAAGGCCTGGGAAGACACATGTCGAAAAAGCTGCAGGGGGCAAAGTTTTCTGCAGTTTATAGGTCAACTTGCTTTTGTTCATGCGGTTCAGTGCCCCCTATAGCTAACCTGTTGTCTCAATGATCATTTTGATGATGATGATGATGATGATGCTTTTGAACAGGTGAGTAGTCTCTTTTAGGCTAGACTTTGATGCAGGAAACTAGTGGGGTTTGCTTAAAGCCCAAATGCGTGCACCCACATAAAAAGTCCACTTCTGTCTTTAATTTTGTCTTTCCGCACATCAGAGTACATTGCGGTGTGTCACAATCGAGAGACGTATGCAGCCGTTACCATAGATGACATGACTAAAAAATAGATTTGAAAAGATGAAAGTGTTTTCAAGCTGTTTAAAGAAGGATTGGTATACTGAGCGAGCTACAGGTATTGCTTCCATTCGTTCTGCAGGTGCAGAAGTTGACCAACTTTCTCTATGATTATTCCATTATAGCCTTGCCTGTATGCTGTAGAACCTGTTGCACTGATCTTTAACTGAATTTTCCACCATCTGAGTACTTTCTACGCAGATATTTGCAGTTCTTACTACTGTGTGATACTGTCATTTATGGCTCTTTAAAGTCGCTACTGCCTTTCAGGTGAACAGCTGGACACAGGCAGTTTCATTCCTCGCCTTGTGAACAAAAGTATTTATTGAAAAGCCACCTCCACATGCATGCTGTGTCACCCTGATTCTAAAGCCATTCTGAACAACATAGACTGATTGGTGAGTGTAAGTGTGTGTACATGGCATTCAAGAAAGAGCCAGTAAATAGACCTTTTTCCAGACCTTTCACGGCAGGAAAAGCACAGATCTGCTTGTCACATTCAAACAATGATGGCTGAATTATATTTCGCTGCTCGGCTTTCAGCTTCCTGCTAATGTGCACGGTGGCCCATTATGGAAACACCTGCAATCATTTTAGATACACGGTTTTTGCGTGCATTATGGGGTATATTTTAAAATGTCTTAACGCGACAAAGGCCTATTGTGTACAGCATTATGAATGAAAATAACTTTCCACCAGATATGTCATTAACTCTCAAATCATTTTCTCTCAAGGAACCAGTTTGCAACCCGCTCTTTAAGTACACTACCTAAGTAACGAAAAGACGTTTGAACGTTGGGTACAATTTAAAGATGGTAAATCAATGGTAGCGAAATAGGTAACTTCTTTAATCCCCATGGCTGCTCTGTCGCCATCTAGTGGCCAAACGAGGGCAGGGCAGCGCGCGGGGTCCAAAGACGTCACATCCTCTCCTCTTCCTGTTTATGTTAGCGGCTAGCAGCCGTTAGCAGCTGTCCATCGAATGAAACACTCCGCACATTCAACGGCCTCGGCTCAACTGGGTGAGAAGACGCTCGTTTATTTCACATGACATTTGTGTACACGGCTTTACTACTGTCACACACATACTAAAAACATGGGAGCGAGGGGGGCGGGGGGGTTAGGCACCGTCCGTACGTTGGGTTTCATAGACGGTCGATACTCAGTCAGACCACTTTTAGAGGCCCGCCTCTTTTCGGAGCAAAGTCTTTCTCTCCACGACGTCCTCGAGCCACTCCTCTCGGAACCTCGTGCCGGCGGGCGCGTGCATGAGCCGGCTCGACTCCACCGCGAAGCGCACCTCCACGGGCGCGGCGGCGGGCCCAACCCTCGACACGCACACGTCGAAACGCACGCTCGCCGTCCCCGGAACGGGTTCCCCGGCGGTCGGCACGCCGAAGCGGGCCCGGTAGTGGTAGAAGGTGCGATGCTCCTCCTCGGTGCGGAACAGGAAGTCCAAAGTGTAGAGCCAGCAGCGCTGCAGCTCCCACGTCTGAACGTACTCCTCGAGCTGCTTTTCCACCGCGTCCACGGTGAAGTCTTTGACCGCGACACAGCTGATGGTCGTCATCGCGCCGCCCGGAGAGTCGTCCACCTGCTCCCGGGCAGTGCGGAGCGGTTCTTTGGGGCTGAGGGCTTGAGGTTGTCCGCTGTTGTTGTCGCAACAGTTTCCCTGACTACCAGGGCGCGTGGGTGCGGAAGACGGCAGTCCAATTAGCTGGCTCCTAAATTAAAATGGATTTATTTTTAATATTGATTGTTGTTGTTTTTTCAGGACACAATCGAATAAGCAGCACCCTGACCCTAATACAAAAAACCTGCTGATGGCAGATCGTCTGCCATGAGGATGCACTAAGCATCCGATTGGCTAATTAAATAGGAGTTCTCCCCGCCCCGCTGTTCCCAGTGCTAAACGCATGTCGCGGATCAGGACCACACTGGACAGCGTCACCAAGGCTGTCGGCGGCACTGACCTCATCTCCAAGTTCTCCCGCCTGAAGCCCGGGAGTCCCGCGGAAAAGGTTCCGGTCAAAGCCGAGGCCTCTAACGGCGAAGCGGCGGCCTCGCAGCCTGAAACCCCCGCGAAGGAAGGAGAAAAGGAAGAAGGCCACGACAGGATCGCGGCAGAGGAAGACCCGGGCAGGCGATGCCGGCTAAGTCCTTCCGTCGCCGCGAAGAAGTCCACGTCCGTCCCACCCTTGGCGGAGAATGCGACCGTGGCCAAGCAGCCCGTGCAGCCGTTTCACCCGGCAGCTCTGTCCAACGCCATGGATGACACCTACAAAACTCTAGCCGAGCACATCAACAGTTACTTTGGCACCGGCACACAAGAGGAAGAAGGAGACGACGGGCCGCCACAACAGCGCCAACACACAAAAGTTGGGGACCCAGTTTCCGGGCCCACTCTCGTTGCCGCCGCTCGGACAACTCGGGACCACGCTGTGGTTTCGTCCTCAGTGGCAGGGGCCAAAAGTATTGAAGCGGCCGCTGCCCCTCTTCCCCCTCCCTCTTCAACTCCAACGGAAGAGCTCGGTTCCCCGGCCAGGACGACCTCCTCTGAAACCCCGGCGGCGCCGCCCGTCCCCGTGCCCGCTGCCGCCTCCAAAAAGGGCTTCACCCGCTACCTCTCCTACCCCCGGCCCAGCGTTCAGGCGTTTGTCGGCAGCTACATCACGCCCCTGGTCCCCAAATTCCGAGGGGACTCCAGAAGCATCGCGGCCGAAAGAGACAAGCCTCCAGCGGCGGCTATGGAGGAGCCCGCCGCGGAGAAGAAGAAGAAGAAGAAGGCGGACAGCGACGGGAAGGCGGCGGACGAAGTGAAGCGGCAGCTGTTGATTCAAAGAGAGAAGGTGAGGCGCTCCGTACGGCTCCAACGAAAATCGCAACTCGGAGACACTTTGAAAGTAAAAAGAAATGTCCTGGATTGACGTTTTGTACGCGTTGTGTATTTGCCACGCAGATAACAGCCAGGGTGAGCGTAGACAACAGGACCAGGGCGCTGGTGAGAGGCCTGCAGAGAGTCACCGACGTCAAGCTCCTCACCAGTCGAGTGGAGGAGCTCAGCTTTCACCTGCTAGAGTTCTCGGAGACGCGAGGTGTAGCCATCAAGGTCGGCTTCAGAAGCTCAGCTCTGTGTAACGACGGGTTGTATTGTGTAGTCTCGAGAGCAAAATCTTAGTCTAGTGTGTTTGCGCGTCGTTGTGACACTTTTTAGGAGGGTGTGTTGCCCTGCCTGCTGCGATTGCGCCAAGCCAGAGACCTTCCTCTCCAGGCCGCTGTGAGAGAGGCACTGGCCCTGGTGGGCTACGCTGAACCAGTCAAAGGCAGAGGGATCCGGGTCCTGGCTATAGACGGCGGCGGAACAAGGTGAAGCTGTGACGAATGCAATTCAAGATGAAAGCGTCTTTGTGATTATTAAAAGACCACAGAGCTTTCTACTGTAGAATAAAAGTGCATGTTTGTTGTCGCGGATTAACAGTTGCGTTGTCAGTGGAGGTTCTTTAAATACTGTACCGCTGGTCACAGGGGACTGCTGGCCCTGCAAACTCTGCATCAACTGCAGAACCTGACGGGCAAACGGATCCACCAGCTGTTTGACTACATCTGTGGTGTCAGCACAGGTACATCGCCATCGATATTCAGTGTTCTCTCTTTACTTGCCCCACAGGGGAATGCATCTCCACGCCTGATAACCCCATTGCTCTCCGCTGCAGGAGCTATTCTGGCCTTCATGCTGGGCATTTTTCAGATCCCCTTAGAGGAGTGCGAGGAGATGTACAGGAAGCTGGGCTCGGATGTCTTCAAACAGAACGTCATCGTGGGGACCGTTAAGATGGGCTGGAGCCACGCGTTCTACGACAGCGAGATATGGGAAAACATCCTCAAGTTAGTCTGCACAGCTCCCTTTTCATCCTTCCTGTATTCATTTTTGCTTTTTCAACTCTCTTCTGACACTGGGTTAGCTATATATATCTACATATATATATAGAGATATATATATAGCATATATATTTAGCTGCATCTTTAATCTGTTTTTTTAGGGAACGGATGGGTGAGGGGCGTATGATTGAGAGTGCCAGGGACCCGCACTGCCCTAAAGTAAGCCAAACTACTGTTCACCTCTAAACTGCCTATATTAAAGCTGTATTTGTGAATGAGCTAAAACATATTTAGGAAGTCTCTTTGCAGCTCGCCGTTTTATACAGATAAACATGACACGCTCCTCTCTAAATCTGCCCTTTGTCCACAAGGTGTCAGCAGTGAGCACTGTTGTGAACAGGGGCTTACCGCTCAAGGCCTACACGTTTAGGAACTACAGACTCATGCCGGGAGTGAGATCCCACTACCTCGGTGACTGCAACCACAAAATGTGGCAGGCGATCAGGGCCTCGTCTGCCGCTCCGGGCTACTTCAAGGAGTTTGTCCTGGGAAAAGACCTGCATCAGGTATGACTTGGAACTGGGAGAAGCAGGGGGGTTGTGTCTCAGTTGGGTACATAGGAGGTTGATAATAACACCGTTTGCAGGGAAGATGATGCGTTCGGGAACTGGGGGACTGAAGCAACATGATCAATGATGTTGAACCATCGCCCGTGGAGGGGATTCTTCCATTAGCGCAGATCACCAATATGATTTGAATAGTCAAGTTCAATTTCCTTGAAATTTTACCAATCAATACACTTCCGCTTAGGCACTGCGTTGCCTGGTGCCAAAGATAAAAGCACTGAGCTTACACTGCACTGTGTGTGTGTGTGTGTGTGTGTGTGTGTGTGTGTGTGTGTGTGTGTGTGTGTGTGTGTGTGTGTGTGTGTGTGTGTGTGTGTGTGTGTGTGTGTGTGTGTGTGTGTGTGGTGTGATTTGTTACACTCTTCCAAACCCATGAACTCAAAGGCGGCCTCTAAATCGTTGCGCAGAATAGAGGGCTGCCAGATGTACTGTGAGTAACGTGCGAGTACTTGCAAGTCTTTAAAGTCAGATTATTTGGTTTAGTGACGAAGTTGTAAATTCCTCAGAGGGGTATTTAATGACAAGACAAAGGAATCTAAGATAAAGGACTTGTGTCCATAGCATTCCTTTATTTGACTTTCTAACGCTTGGGTCCCCATCACAGAGCTCCTTCACTTTATGCCATTTGATTATTAGGCCAGATATCTTTAGATGGTCTTTGTGGGCAGAAACTATGCTTAAGGCTTAGCTTCATTTTGATAACCCACTTTAGCAAAATTAGCCTTGAAGTATTTCTCTCCCCTGGCATTTACTAATGCGAAAGTTCTGGTAGACAGCCCAATGTTTTAGTCATTAACAGATCCGTATCTCCAGTCCCTCTCTGCATGTTTGTAGAGCTGAGCCTTCATTAAAATGAAAGCCAATGACCTACAAGTCGTTTTTCCGAGCTCAAGCTTGGCCAGCTACTAATCTAGAAAGTTAAGAAATGAAACCGCAACCTCTGACCCCCAGGAACGCTGCGGGTGTCGCCACTAATGGGTTAAGAAGATGCCAAATAGCCAGCTGATCTTTTCTGATCGTGATCGGTCTCCCCTAAAATGTCCCGTAGAGCCGCCCATGAACTGCAGATCTCTACTACATATCATTTATATTTATATTAAAACGGTTTGGATATGACTAATGCAAGTTGTGCTTTGTCGCATGTTGTTTGCATGTTGTATTCTGTTTGGGCATTTCTGTTCTTGTTCACTTGTCGGAAGAAAGTCTGTCTTGAGTCGTTTCCCACGCACTGGGTTGGTAAGACAGCAGGGATGGAAAGTTAAAGAATGAGTGTGTGTGTGTGTGTGTGTGTGTTGGAAAGTGTTTCATCGACAGTTTGAGCTGTCGTTGCCACCCACCGGTCTCACTACTACTCTAGTTTTCAGCACCAGCAGCGGTATTTCCCAGGAGAGTTCTGCCGTTATGGGCCAGCAGACAGTCTCAGACTCCATGTAATAGGTGCAACTCAAATATCCTCCCAGAGCTGGAACTCTTAATTCTTTAGCAAATCCGATCATCTGCCTGCGCGAGAATGCCGAAAAATGCCGTTTTGTTTCTGTGTCGTCATTGGATGCAGGCTACAGGTCAGGTTAGACCCCGGGGGTGAAGGGTCAGAGGTGAAACTTACCTGCTGTCTCGAAAATGCAAAGTCAGTCCCTCCGTTTCAGTGGCTTGTTGCAATTGGTCGGAGAATCATCTGGTATTGTCCCATAATTATGCACATAGACAGACATATGAATTAAACATATGTTTCATAGAACAACATATAAAGTCTATTCTTGTATTTATCTAGTCAGGGTTAAGTAAATATGTTGAATGTAACTGAGAGATTTCTTTATGTGGATTAAACCCTTGTTCTTTTCTCTACTGCCCGCCCCATGTAGAGGGGTGGAAATGACCATGGTGGTCATGGTTGGGGAGGTCAGAGGGGAGGGTCAGACCCCTTGTGTGCCACACTCAACATGTCTATTAATCCTGGCCGAATGCCGTTCAGTAGTTGGATATAGTCCAAAGTGGACCCGGGGAAAGTGAGGAAAAAGCCTTTAGCTCTAAATGGGTCCAGGCATCCATTCAGCTTGATTGTCCTCTTTCTGTCTTTGTTGGCACCACTGAGATTAGCAACTCTTTCATGAATCCAGTAACAGTGTTTAGTGGAAAAAGCACAGAATCTGTGATTAGCTTAACTCATGACGATTTATAATTCTCAAATATAACATGCTGTTCTGACAAAGCTTGAGTCACAGTAATGCAGCAGTAAGACTCATTTTAGCTTCTTTAAAAACAGATTGTTTACTTGTGAATAACCAGGGCTGTTTGCCAGAAAAGCACATCGCTGGCCAGAGAGCTTCTTTTCCTCCGGCCCAAAGCCGCACCGCTCTGAGGCGGCTCGTCCACTTCACCTCATTCGTCCTCTGCTTGCTGTTACGTTAAAGTGATCTCTGAGCTCCCATGTGTACATTGACCTTGCTTCGTAAGCAAACATGGCTGATGCAGTGCTGAAGGTGCCTTTTTACAGCTTCTGGTATCCCATCAACCAAAGAGGCCGTTTCTGAAATGACCCCCCCCCCCCCCCCTTCCCCCCGCTCTCCCTTTTGTAGGACGGAGGACTGCTAATCAACAACCCCACGGCTTTGGCCATCCACGAGTGCAAGTGTCTGTGGCCCAACACGCCGCTGCAGTGCGTGCTGTCCCTGGGGACAGGGCGCTACGAGACGGCGTACGACAACAGCACGACCTACACGAGCCTCAAGACCAAGCTCAGCCACGTCATCAGCAGTGCCACCGACACCGAGGGTAGGGCTGGTCGGCGTCCCGCCGGCGCAATACATTCACGCACCTGGGACTAGAGGCAGTGGCCCGGCGACTAAAGACCTCGCTCTCCTTCTTTCAGAGGTGCACACCATGCTGGACGCGCTGCTGCCCCCCGACACGTACTTCCGCTTCAACCCGTACCTGAGCGAGGACATCCCGCTGAACGAGAGCCGCGGGGAGAAGCTGAACTTCCTCAAGGGCGAGGGCGAGCGCTACCTGGAGCGCAACGACGCCAAGCTGAGGAAGGCGGCCGGCGTGCTGGGCCAGGAGAAGAGCGCCATCCAGAGGCTGGCCGAGTGGGCCAAGCTCAAGGCCAACATGTACGAGGGGCTCCCCTTCGTCTCAAAGCTGTAGCCGTCGGCACGGCGGGAGTTTCCGAAGGTAGGAAGACGTGGAGCGGGACTGCTTCGGCGACATGAAAGACAAAAAGGGGCAAACTGGACACATTGTTTGTGCAGGAAGTGAGTTAATTCATTAGGCAAGATGATAGTATGCCGTAAATAATAGTGTGAAATGAAATATCGTTTTGGGACAGAATGTGTCTGAGAGGGAGATGGAATCAATTAAGCACGATTTGAAAGTAGAATATTTATGAATTTTAGGCTGTTTAAGTGTCGATTGACTAAACGCACAATGATCTAATGGGACACAAGAATAATGAATATAACTTTTATTTTGTAAAATAGACAGAAACTTTAATACGTTAAGTATTAAATACATGATTGCACATAAAACATTTGACTATTTATAACACTCTGGAGAGGAATGACATCATGCACTTTGTAGAAATCTCAACCATGAAAATGAAACTAGTATTTGAAGCAATTGTCAAATATTTGAGCGCTCTTCATGCTAGAATTTAAGAATACAACAGAAGTAATGCTGCCGACTCTTAATATCACTGTGCTGTATTGACACATACTGACATGGAAATCTGTTTCTAATTCTCATGATAATGTTTCGTAATGCAATCACTTTTTCTCCGTGATCCGTGATACAAAGCATGCTCTCCGTTGTTTCCCATTATTCTGTACGATGCTTTTGCTTTTTAACCGAGCTGAAGCCTGAATTCTGGCTCTCGGCGTCACACACTTTTTACATTGTGAGAATGCTAGATGCCCCGATGCCTCCCTTCTTTATTGCTTGGTGGGGGAAAAATAGAACTAAAATAAAACTTGGGTTTTCAAAACCTTGTTACTCGTTTGACTCCTGTATTCTTTTAGAATCCTCCGTCACGGGAATGTGTGCCCTACACGCGCATCACACACACACACCACAATAGAGTTTTCCCAAAGGAATGCCGAGTGTCTTCCTAAAGATGAATTGCCTTTATTCCCCGATCGCACACATTGACTTTCTACTTCATTGTTTTGACCCCATTGAAGATCCACTCAAATTCCATAGCGTCATTCCTTCCAGTCACACTGTTGTTACCCCAACCAACGTGAACAATGCTCCACGAGGAGGCACACCTACAAGCCCCCACAGCAATGACGGATGTCAGAAAGATGTGGAGGGGACATCTCCCTGCTGATGCCTCTCTTCTGGTGTCAAGCGGTCAAAGTTTAAACTGGCTCAACTGCACTTTTTATCTTGGTTTTAGCCAAACGTCGGGGTCTGATTTATGGCACTTGCGCGTGGCCTCTTTTCAGCAGGTGAACAAACTGGGATCTGGATCCCAACAGTATATGTGGAAAACATGTTTGATGTTATTAACAACTTATTTTGATTTGGCGGGATACCTTTTTTAGTTTGAGTGCAAAGGCCGCGCCTGAAACCAACTGCAACTAAATTTGACCCCTTTGAATAAAAATATAAATACTTCAATCATAATGCTGATGCAGTTTGTCTAATCTTTTGTTTCTTCCCCTATCTGCTTTTTGAAGAGTTTTGCATTTTATGCTTTTGAAAATACTCCATAAAGCATCTTTGTCTTGCGTGTCTGTCAGACTAATGAGGTGGACATGAGACTAACGTTCTCTGGCGACGTACATCCTCTTGAGCGGGAAAGGCCAAAGTACCAAAGGTAAAGTGATGCCTGCCAGGCAGTGTTTACATGAAGGAGCGGGATGTATGTGTAGTTCTTTCCAACGCACTATTAACTTGTCAGTCTCTCTTCCTCCTCAAGCAGAATTAGATTGTCTGGCCTTATGGTGTTCCCTAGCAACCATTAGAGTTCCCTTCTCGTTTACAATCCTTTCAATGCATGTGTGCCCACGCTTGCCTAAATATGTCCCTCATCTGGCAGCGTGTTGCACAATAAATACATTTCGGCGAGACCGCTAGCATTTGCCATCTTTTGCCATGAACCGAATGCAGCATCCAAGCAGCTGTTTTGTACGAGTTGTCTCACCTTGTTTCTCAACGGAGCGTGTTTCTCAGCATCCAAACCTCACCCAACGGACAGTACGTGCAATTATACAAAAACGGTAATATAACGAGAGACAACCCCTAAACGTGATCTTAAACTAGGAGGATGCAAATACACCAGCAAATGAATACAAAAGGGTTTGAGGAAGATTCAATACGGTCACTTTTTCTTCCTGCAGATCGCCGGCTTCTTACTTACTGATCCTGTGATGTGTAGCTCTCTGAACCAAGGTGGGATGTCAACGAGGAAGCTGGTATATGCTGGTTACTGTATAGTAGAGACTTCTACTATAACATATCCTGGCCTGTACATAGATGTTAGCCTCCCAGTTTCAGAGATGCCTCGGCGTCTTTTCTACTCCACACCGGTACGTCTGTAATGTGAAACAAAGGCGTCTGTCCGTTGCCACGTCTCCTCATTGACAAGAAACTGCAGGAGAGTTGATGGGGTGCTGTGGATCTCCAAAGATCTCTGCCAGCCGGCTAGTGGACACACAGATACACACACACACACACACACACACACACACACACACACACACACACACACACACACACACAGATTCCAGCCCTACATGAATGTGAAACAACACTCAGTGCCAACGTCAAGAAGATTATTTTGCACACATTATTCGGCCAGTGAGCAAAGAGGGAGAGAGAGTGGACATTACTGGTGGTGATGACTGGGCCTTAATGTGTGTGAGACATGCTCGGTCAGTCCCGGATTGGGATTGAGTGATGTGGGAGAGGGTGAAGGGTGAGTGTTGTTCACACACACACACACAATGTGACATTGATCTGTGGGCCAGTACTGATAACATGGTGTGCATCGGGGCGTTGGACACCAGCACCACCGTGTCAGTGTCTGCATGAGACACCTGTGCTGTGTTGATGGCAGAGAAACACCTGTGTATCTTATCTAACATGGGAAATATCCACAACGGGCACCGTACACCAGCTTCCCCGTTTAAGGTTCTCACAGTCACAAGTTAAACTGCCCAATTCAGACTTCTCAAACTAATTATTTGGTCTATTTTGTTTATTGTTAAGTAAACAACCATGAGATGACAGTAAGTGGGGAACAAGTGCCACAAACTCGTTCCTTGTGATACAATTGACTGATACAATCCGCAAATAGAGAACATGAGGATTCCAGAGGAACCAGTGACTAATTTTCCCAATCCTTACATTTGAAACCCTGCAATCCAAATATAAATATTTGCGGGCAAATAAAAATAAAAGAACTCAGGAGGTAAAGATGTAAATACATAACAAATTAAAAGTAAAAGATGCTTACTATTCACTAGCACGGTAACATCCCCACACATGCAGCGCTTCATGCAATTCATTTCAGAGTTTCTATTAGACAGTGAGGAATAACAAGAGAACTCTGCAGGGTTATTGTTTACTTCACACATATCTGTCTGCAGGTCCATCTGCTGCCACTTGTTAGAACGGGGTCGCTATAGTTGTTTTTTCTCCTCTGTCTTTCTCCACCGGATTGCCAGCGGCAGACATAGCAAGTGAAATACGGAGATCTCACTCTGATATCATCTCCGTCTACCAGATAGAAGGCACGGACTTTAACATTCTAATACAGGCACACATGTTAGACCAAACTTGAATTGGGTCCACAGTTTTTTTCCTTTTTTTCCATATGCACAAATGTGGTGCATTGGGCATTTTTACAATATATTGAATGCTACCTTCCACCAAATATGATACACTTAATTCATGTTCCTCTTTGAATAATAGTGTTTCAAAAACCAATGGCATTCACATAGGTCTAAATACGTAATAAAAGCTCTATTTTCACCAATGGGGAAACTGGAAAAATAATAGACACCACGCCGATGTAAATCTAATCGGTCCGGGAAAGCGTGCAGGGTTTTCGCTCCGGAGTGAGTCGTCTTCACCGAGTCATAGGCGATCTCTGTCGCTGCTGGTTTTTGACAGCGGCGGGGGAGCTGGTGAGGAGAGCTGAGGAGCCGTGTGGACCACAGCTTGCTGCTGCAGCGGCTGAAGGGGGGGAAGCACACGCACTGGCCAGGCACGGTCCTTCAAACACACACACACACACACACGCCGCATCATTTTTCTACAGCATCCACACAGACACTCACTGCCTGGAGAGGAACCAGCAGCCCGGTTTGCAGCAGACGGTGAGTTTAATACCTTCTCTCTCTTTCTTGTTTCCTTTCTCTTTCCCCACCACCCCGTTTTGAAGATGGAGATTGCATCCTCGCCCGTTGTCTTCAGCAGAAGCATAATGTAGCTCGGGCATAATGGTGCAGTGGATGTGTCAAGTCTGCATTTCCATTTGCACGGTGCACGACGAGGATGACCAGGTGCAAATAATATAGCAATATGGACGCCGATTGTCGTGTTTAACAAAAAAAAAAAAAAAAGAGGAATAAATCTGGATTTCTGCTGAGAATAAAAAGATGAAGCCATGAAAGAATTGATGGCAAGGTGTTGATCGGCCGTTGTGCAGAGTGCATGCGAAGGGGGGTCTGTTGCAGAGGCAGTGGTTGGTGCTCATTGTTGCTGCCGGTGCTCACAGGCCCACAGAGGGGATGATTTGATGTCTGCCAGTAATGCTGCCATATGTAGCTCAGATCTTGCAGCTGTCAATCCAAGTGTTCAGACCTCAAGTCAGGCAGCACTAATTATGTAGATGTTATATGTATGTAGATATAGTATGTATGTGGAGATAATAGTCAGCAGGGGTTTGTCAGAGGGATGATCAGCGTGTTTCATTCTTAATCATTATGCTTTGTCAAAAAATGATTAAGAGTTAAATCATGAATAGTTATTTTGGATATTGGTATAGTTTCTGCCTCGAAATATGGCCTAATACACCTTTCCACATCTCTCTGAAAAGGCCAAATGGAGTTGATGACACTTGATTGGTTATAGAAAGAAGCGACGAAAATGATTAACTTTTGGATTTGAAAACCCATTTCCTCAGAAACTGCACAGCATTAGTGCTGAAATGATTGTTCAGTTAATTGATTCATAATTTCAGTCATTTTTCAAGCAAATGTCCAAATTCTCTAAATCTGCTGATTTTCTAGTTTCCCTTGTTACATGTGAAATACGGACAGCTTCACAACTTACATACATTTTAGAGAGAGATTTAAAAACTGAATCTATTATCAGTTGCTGCCATTGTCATAGCAGCTGTATAAATGCAGATATGAAGGTGGCATAGAAATGCTTAAATAGTTTCCATTGTGTTTAGAACCACATACACTGTGTTGTCCTGTTGCTCAGTGGTGAATTGCCAACAAGCAGACTAAAGGTTTGATTCCCATTTGGGTCCACGTGGCTGCTTGTAGGACATGTGTTCGTTTGATTGGTGACATACGTCCACGCATCTCTGTCTCTCTGTGTGTTGCTGCTTATCTTGGGACCCCCTCCCCTGATGGGCGGGTGTATTACTGGGGAACCCGATTGAATTGGGAGCATCAGGCTGCTCCGGGCCCAGATTGCCTAAAGGCTGAATCTACTGTCTCTTTCCCGTCTACTGGACTGCGTGCCCATGTCTCCATTTTTTGTGAGCATGATTAGCTGCAACTTGTGTGTGTGTGTGATGCAACCATGTCATGGCAAAGCTGTGCTTTTCCTACTATAACGAGTCAAAATGTTCCAGCATACTTCGTCAAATTAGACAAACTCCAAATGAATTTGAATTTAGTCTGATGAGGAGTGCGGCTCATTTTTAAAATCGATCATACGGTGCAATGCTGTGGTTTGCCACGACACGGCAGGTGTGGTGCGTTGGCGCCCCGCTTACCCATCCCCACCCAATGAGACATCACAAGACATGACCTCCGTCTCCTGTGACGAGTCCCCAGACCCCAGACTAGTCCCCCAGACTCAGCACTGAGCCATTGCTCGTGGCAGATGCGGTGTCATCGTCACTCTGCCGCTCTTCCATTTCTCCGCGGCCCATTAGACACGAGTCAGGTGATGGAGCGTCTGGTAGACTCACATTCTCATTCCGTCGCCTTAAGTGATGACACAGTTCTCAGACACGGGAGATGCATGAAAAATGTCTTTCCGGTTGTTAATCCCGATCCTGTCATTTCACTCAGGTGAGATTGGGACTCAAAGGAATTGAAATGCAAAGTAAATGTTCATGCATATTCATTATTGTAATGAGATTTGTTTTTTGAGATTTGTACTCAAAGATATTATATTTTGATTGAGGAGTTGTTTACTTATTGGTACATATTGCTATCTAAACAGCATCTTGTGTGTTTAGATAGCGGGTGTATGTGCATATGATGCATTAAAATCATATTATCAACCGGACATTATTATCTTAATTCATGATTTTGGTGATTCTCTAAAATTAATTAATTAATTAGTTTATTTTGTCAAACCAAAAGTGGAATAATGCAGACAAAAAGTGTAAATGCTCACATTTCAATGTTTCTGCCATTAAAAAAAGAGGAAGAAAAACAATTAGTTGATTCCTGAAATAGTTCTGTCAAAAGGTATAATTAATTAATTGTCTAAATTGTGCTTTCTCTAATTATCCATTTTTATCAATTGTTAACCTTTTGAAATATTTTGTTGAAAAGTTGTGGAAAGTATCACATCACGAGAACTTAACCCCCAACGTGATGAACCTTTTTTGCCTAAACCAAGAGTCCAAAACTGCAAATGCAGTGATCGACTAAAAATGTAAAACCTCGAGAGCCAAATATGTATGTTTTTTCCCAACAAATTGACAAATTATTCTCCATAACATATGATGCACACGTTGTCCCAAAACTACATAAAGCATCACTATGACTTCATATGGATGGGATTTAGTTAAATGCTTCCCACCCAGTCCCTGATATATAATGGAAAAGGTTGTGGGGAAAAAAAACATTTTCCACATCTGCATTTTCAAGCAGCTTCTTCTCTTCTTATTAGTCTTCTTATTTGCGTATTTAAAACAATGCACATTATGCTGTAATTATGAGTTTTGTTATCAGCCCCCTGCACGCCCGCAGGCCCTGCTGTTACGAGCAAACAATGCTTCCTCATCAAGTCATCCCTGTACACTTTGTCAAGTTCGCTCCCAGCAAAGTGTGCAGGTGCACGTGTTAATGACGCCGTCCTGGGTTTTTGTCTCCGTTTAGCTTCAGAAACCTCTGCCGAGGCCGCAGCCGAATGAATACAATTAGCATCATATTCTTCTGCTCTGGGTTAATATCCTCAGCCCCCCCCCCCTGGACGTGTTTGGGTGGCTGTTTTCATTAAGGGACCGGGACGCATAGCTGAGGGCCGATGAATTGGGAAGAGCGGCAAAGTTCCAGCCGGGTGTGGAGTGCGACACTATGCTGCTGGTAGATTGGTGAGCGAGCAGATGTTGTTCTCTCTGCCTTATCATGAAGACAGATGTTTGTTTTGTAGTGTTTTCTTTTTGGGAAGATGGAGTTATTGCCTGCAGATGGGCGAGTGTCTGCACAATGAGTCCATGGACAGAAAACAAATCTGCAACAATTCTGACAATTGAGTAATAAAGAAAAAAAACTGCAGTATGAGGATTTGCTGCCTTTTCTGTTTCGTGTCCTGGGTTTTAGACTAAATGAAATACAGTGTACATCAATTAAGGTAAGGAAAAAAAAGGAAGGGTAGGAGGTAAAAGGCAATTAAAAGGGAATACAAGGAAGTAGAGTAAGTAAAAGTGAAAATAAACGAAAGCACAAAGAAAAGTAATGACTAAGGAAGCGGCAAACGCTCCGGTGGAGGAGTAAAATACACAAGTGAGGGAAGAGGAGTGACGTGCTGCTCACCAGCTGTGCCAGGCCGCCTCTCAAGTAGAGCAAAAGACAAGAGATTAATAAAAGGAGACATGGCATGCCACTCCTATTCTACACACACACACACACACACACACACACACATTCTACCGTATTCATGTCTCACTAATATAGAAAGTCAATCTTTCCTGCATGTCTCCACATGTCATGAACGTTTCGAGGCGGTTTAAGTGTCGGGTGGGCAACAGATGGGAGAGTGGGTGGGAGGAGAGGAGTTGCCAGACTCCATAGCCGTCACTGGCTGAGTTTAAAACCATATTCATTTAATTTAAATTTTTTTATTTTATATATTTTTTCAACATAACCAATCATATTAAATGCATTTTTAGTTTAGACAGGAAATTTGAGGAGGAAAAAGACTGAAAAAGGTGATTTATGCATTCATATCTACGTGTGTATCCTCTTTCTTTACAAGAGCTAAGAGAAAGAAAGGAGGAGTGTTCACACCCCAGATGTGGGAGCTTAATTCATTGTTCAGTAGGCTTAAAAATAAAATTACCACCCAGGCACCAGAATCTTTGTCACAGCTCTGAAATGATTAGTGAGGATTTGGGTCAAAGAAGCCATTAAAGAGCTCCTCTTATCAGGCCAAACATCCAATTGGCTCAAGGCACCAGCATCACATGACTGTTGTGAGCCAACCAGCCTCAACGATTATTATTAAAGATGTTTTTACACAGTATAATTTCATTTGTCAGCTATGATTTCTTTTTTACTGTGGACTGCACGATTATTTTAGATACAGTAGATATGCATATTTTTAACCCCCAGCTATGGGAAGAGGTTTCTTTGGTGGTAAACACATGATTTGTAGAGTGTTTAATTAAGCATCGCCTTTTAAGGTATTTCATTGGCCCAAAGCCAACAGAGTTAACGCTCCACCTACTCGGGGCTCCTAACGCTCCACGTCGCAAGACTGGTGTCATTTCATACACCTCGGGGGGGGTTGTATCTGCAAAATATGCCGGTAACATTCTGGTACCGATAAAAAGTTGTTCTCAGCAGCATTCGTGGATCGCTTGTAGTGACATTCAGGGGACCGCCGAGTAGTTAGCCTGTCTTGGAATGTTGAGTAGACACTTTTTTTCTTGACCATCTGCTCATCATCTATGTGCGTGTGGTGTGTGGCTCCAGTTCAATGAAGCTTACGCGTGTCTCGCCTGACCACTTCGGGAAGGCCTTTCCGAGGCCAGCCGGCCTGCAACGAGAGCCCTCTGGTCCTGTGCTGAAAGAGTGTCTTTGTAGGAAAATGTGTGCGCAGAGGATGGGGACAGAAAAGTCATCTATCCGTTTTAAGATGTTAACTGATAAAGCGATTAAAGACTGACGGATAGAGT